AGCTCAGTTTTGATTTTGAAAAGACCCCTTGGGCGCCTCAGCTCCGGCTCTCAGCCTGTCGTTAGGTTGACTGAAAGTTTTTAATCATCATTTTTCTGATGGCTTTTGAAGTACAGTTTTTTTGCAATCTTTTGAACAGAGTCAAGTTTGTGCTTTGTACGAGTGTGAAGTTGAAACTGTTGTCATGGCGACACATGTTTCGGTGTTACTTTGTCTTTTCCCCCCCGTCTCTTTCTGTTACTCTCTGGCAGTGTGTGTGTGTGTGTGTGTGTGCAGGTCTCTCTTATAAGGAGCACATTGGCTCTCACCGTGTAATCACTCCTGCCATAATAAACCTGGTGGAGACACCCACTCCTGTGCCAGATAATCCCGTCGTATTATCCTGTGTGTGCCTCACCCACCGGTCAGTGATTTTTCTTCTGCAGTGAAGCTCGCCTACTTCTCTTTCAACGCCAGCAGGCTCTCAGTCGACACCACCTGAACTTTCATCCTTTACTTCACAAAACTAAAGATTACATTTAACACCCTGAAAATGATCTTTGACTCAGTCTCAGCATCTTGGGGTCTAAACACAAAAACTGTAAAACTGTAGCAACTTTGCCACAAATCCACCCCAAAAGAGTGTTTTACACTTACTTTGAATCGTCGTTCAGGTTTCCCCTGAAGTCCTCTCTTGACGCTTTGAGGACTAAATCGTTCTAGCTGGGTTAGCTGAGCCTCTGTTTCTCTCTCAGCAGTCTCTTCCTGTTGCTGTAGGAATGTAAATCAATGAAAGCAGCTATTCAGAATCAGAATCAGAATCAGATTTATTGTCCAGGTATGCTTACACAATCAAGGAATTTAACTTTGGTGAACTGTGCTCTCTTTTGTACAGGTACAACATTAAACATCAACAATAAACATAATAAGAAAATACTAATATTTACATGACTAAACATGAAACAGTGCAGTGGTGCATAGTGCAAAAGATGCTGAAGTAACATTATAAGTAAAATGCAGTTATGTGACAGATGGGTCAATTAAGATGTTGATTACAGTATTTACATAAGTAAGTGTGCGTATATTGATGATTTAAATTAAAATATACATATATATATATATATATGTATGTATATTCACAGTATTCATTTGTGCATGCTCAAGAAGAAAATTAATTGCTTCCTTTGTCCTCGTTTTGCTGCCTCTCCGTTAATTCTCCAGTCACAGATTTGAGGTCAACGCTCTCCGCTGATTGTATGGATTTTGTTTTCTTCTTGTGTAACTCCTGAATTTGCCCATCACAAGAACATGATGTTGAACATCTTTGCAATAACTTTTTAGCACCAGGAACAATGTTTGACAATACGACAAAGGCCCGTAATGTGCCATTTGTTTTTGTTTGTTTTTACATCAATTTCCCAGGATTGTCTTCAAAAAAAGTCTTTAAAAAAAAATGTGGAGTGCAAGAATGCCTGCTGTTGTTTTTCTCTTGTGAAAGAAAAATCCCTTTTCTTATTTTTTTTTTTTTTAAACCTTTTTCAAGGGAGGGAGGGCATGGCCCGGCATGAAGGTAGGGAATAGTAATGCTGCTGAAGGTAACATGATGAGAATACTAATGGAGCCCTGCTGACCATCAGACATGTCAAAGAAGAACAAAGACTTTTTCAAATGAAATATTCTACTTTTCCCATTCGACTCCATGCCAGGATTGTGATTGATAGCTACAAATATTTCTGTTTGGTATCGAGGATGTATGAAAGATGTCACGTTGGAGAACAAACAGCAGACGGTGGTGACTCAAATGTTTAAAGCATCAAAAGGACATTTCTTAAGTTTACAGATTGATTAAATTGTCTGAAGACAAAGACATAAAAATCTATACATGGTGACAAGTTTGTCTCATTTATGAAAATGTTTTTGATAAAATTAGTATAATTTGTTAAATGCAATATACTTAACACTTTCTTCCATAATCATACTATTAAGAGTGCCTTCATTCTAACCTCATGATATGGCCAAAAGTACAAGGACATTTGTTCTTAAAGGCTTTATATGCCTCTAGATGATCCAGCAGATGTCGCCCTTGAGCACCAGCATGAAACCAAAACAACTCTCGCTGCATTGTTGTGTTAGCATGCTAATGCTAGCGATCTTTATTATGCTCGTATCTTCACACTGCATGTAAATTTACCTGAAATGAGCGTGATCTAGAAACACAGTTAAGCAGTGACTACAGTATGTTATTCTTCTTTTCTCTAGTCCCTCAATTAAACAACTTTTATACACGAGGGGAGGAGTCAGCCGGCCGTCCCGGCGATGTAAACAAAGTGAAGATAGGACTCTGAAAACTCTGAAAACATCACAGACAGTGGGACTCGGGTGTTACACCCATTGTAGACAGTCATGACTCACAGAGTTATTTTCAGAGGATAGACTTGATTTCTACATTTAAGTGTGAAAAATCACAAATAAAGCCTTTAAAGGTCACATATTATCTCCTTTTCAACAAGTTTAAATCTCAAAACATGTGTGTGAAGTTTCTTGTTCTAAATCCACTCTGATCCTGTATTTGATCATGTCTATAAACCCCTCTATTTCAGCCCTGCTCAGAACAGGCTGTTTCTGTGTCTGTACCTTTAAATATGTAAATGAGCTGTGTCTGACCATGTGCAGCATGAAATCAGACATATTTCTGTTCAGTCTGTAAAGGGGTTGCTGTTCAAGGAGGTTTTGCTGATGTGTTTTACCAAACTGATGTTACAGTGGTCGTCATGGTGAGGATCAACCAGGGCTAAAAAAAAAATCCTTCCAGTACTGAACTATCTCGAGAAGCAGCAGTAAACTTTCATGTGTCAGCGAGAGGAGAATTTTAAGTGTGGACTTAAAAATGAATAACAGGTGTAATTCTCATATGGATGAGAACTGAGTTGCGAGATTATATTTTAAAGGGAGGAGGAAAAACTCAATTAAAAAAACAAAAACAAAAAAAAAACAAGTATAAGCCAACCTCCACTCCTCTTGTTGCTTCAGAAGATGTAAAGAGTTTGCTGCAGAGATCTACTCCCATCAGACACAAGAACATCAATTAGGTCTGACACTGACATTGACCCACAAACTCCAAAGTCAGAGTTACTCAATCGAGACGGATATTGAATATGTTACTGTTATCACTGAATAATCCTTTTCCTGCTTTTTTTTTTATGAAATGTTGACACTTTTATTAGTCTTGTGTAAAAATGAAAAAAAGCTAAATATCTTTGTTGTTGTAAAATGGGCATCAGAAATCTATTTGGGCTTCATGCAATTCACTGAGTAATGGTTAATTAGTTGCAGCCTATTGGCCTGAGTTTCTATGAATGCCAAAGGCTCGGAATTGGCATGAGGTCAGTGCTTTTTAAAAAACATTTAATTATAATCCTGGCTCTGTGTAAAGTCTGTGTATATATTTATTTGTTAACAGGAGAGGTTGTTACCTAAGTTTTTACCACATACACAAAATCACACTATTTTCTACAATATCCCTGTCCCTGAGACATTAACCTTCCCTTTAAACCAAAAAAAAAGAAGAAGAAAACCATGAAAAAACAGCGTCAGACCAAACTGAAAAGAAAAAAAAAACATGTGGGCAGACTTCCAGTAATAAAGTGTAATTAATGCTCTGACTCAAAGTCCAATTGTTCCTGCAAATAATCCCCCAAGAAAGTTATTAGTGGTAAGAAGACACAGGGCGTAGGTGTCTCCTCTGAGCACAGCTGTGTGGGCTCGTGCACTCTGCCCTCTCTCCTCCACACTGACTCATCCAGCAGGGATGTTCACTCAGTGTGCAACATCCCAGCAGGGGGCAGGTCACCGCCTCTGCACACACAAGGTTAATGTCAGCGGCTGTGAGCCGTGAACTTCGATCAGCAGCTCATGAGACAGGGTCAAATCAATACAGAGAACAGGACCGACAGGTTAATTTCTCTGAATAATGGAGAAGGATCGTGCGGTCGAGGGCAAAACATACCTCAGGTTTTTTAACAATGAAGTCAGAAATTGGCCTTCAGACATTAATGTACTTTGTTCAATTCCCTGATGTTGACTCATTGCCCCATTCATGCTGGAGATGATTTTTTTTTATTTTTTTTGTTTCCATGGCAATGGTGACATTGGTACAGGCTCTGTAATGCAATTTAATATAGTAGACTCTGCTGCCCTCTAGTGGATACATACTACAGGTACACAGTAACAACTTTTTTATCAGCTTTATTGGCTGGTTATGACATGAAACATTTGTTAAGAATTAGCCACAAAACAGACGCCCCCCTCCTCCCATACATATATATTAACCTGAAAAAAAAGATTTAAAGAATACCTCTAGAGGAATCAAACTTAAACTGTGCAATTAAAAATAGATTTATACAAGAAATGTACATAACCCGTACAGGGATAAAAATATATGTGACATTTAAACAAGAACCTAAAAACAGTTGAGGAAAAAAATAATCTGTAATTAAAAATAAAAATAAAGAAAGTGTTGACCTTCTGAAGTTGTGTTGTTTATATATGTACAGCAATGTTTAAAAAGCAGATAGTGCAAAATTATCAAAAAAAACAGACTTTAAATAACAGGCAGTGCAAACATTAAATTAAATATTAAATAAATATTAATATAAATATTAAATATTTTTGACCTGAACTGTTGGATTCGCTTGTTGCTGCTTTTTTGTTATATATTTATATTTTATATTTTGTTTTTTCTACTTAATATCGTATTTCTTATTTTTTTGGATAATATATACAATGTTTATATATCCTACTTCATATTTAACTATGATTGTTTATGGTTTGTTTTATATTTATTTTTCGAATAACAGTTCTCCAAATCGCACGACTATAACGGAGAGTGATCGGCTCTTCAGTGGTGTTTCACCGTAAATAGAAGCCCTCCAAATCTGTACTCGTTTCTCATTGGTCACTCACTGCCATGCTGAATATGATTGGCCCGTCCTTGTCCCTCCCTCTAACTATTCCGGCTGGAAACAAAGTCTCTAAGAAAGCGTGATACCTTCTGCTAAACCTCAACATATCACAAAGGTCCACATAGCCATTTACAAAACGATTTATAATAGTGTAGTAATTCGTTATTTACGAGGACTTGAAGACGGGATAACACTCTTTTGCTGCTTGTACGCTTTAGTCGTAAAGGTAATTTATTTCACAAATGTTCCTTCTCTGTGTGCTAACATGTTAGCGAGTGACCCTAGCTGTTTCAGTTAGCTTAAAGATAAAACTTAATAAATGTCGACTGAGAGGGACTGCTGTTTCATCTTACGGTATCATTTCGTTAGTTTCCTTCCTGTGTTTTGTGGCGTGTTTTGACAGCAGGCTAATGATGCTCACATCAGCACCATAGACTGCAGATCAGTTCAGGTGTGGAGCTGTTTGTGAAGGATGACGTAATCATTCATAACATCAATAAGTCATTTGTTTTTGTTTTTGCTTCATTTCTTCATCAGCACATCCACTCATCAGGATGTCTGTGTATCTCTCTTGCAAATGGGAGATTGACTACAAATGCAATCTGTGGCTGCAGCTATTATTGTTTTTATTGTGCAGGAATCAATAAATATTAATTGTTTTTAGTAAAGTCTGAAAGTTTTTTAAAAGCTTCCATCAACATTTCCTTAAAGCCAACATGATGTCCTAACTATTTCAGTTATGTGCAGATCTCAAATGTATTTATTGAATTCACTGGGATGTTTGAGGAAAGAAAATATTCACATGGAAGCTGCTGGAATCAAATTAAATTTTCTTAAAACCACTAAAACTGATTAATTAACCACAGAAATGATTAGTGAAAAAAATAATAGAATAGAATAGAATGACTTTATTGATCCCAAACTGGGAAATTGTGGTGTTACAGCAGCAGGTTGTCCAAACACATAACATGAGTAAAAAACACAATATTAGTAAATTTAAACACAATATAATATTAAATACAAAGTAAATAAGCACTAAAAATATAAAAACTAAGAATGTGAATATATACAACCAGGATTTAACTTAGCATTACTACTCTTAAATAGGAAGATTAAATGTAAATGTGCAAAAACAGAGTTGTAAATGGTTGTAAATTAAATATGAAAGATTATTGATTAATTGATTGATTGATTAAATTTATTTCAGACATATCAAATAAAATCAAACATATCAAAAATACAAAACGCACGAAAATACGATAAACAAAAAACAATGTTCAAATTATTTCACAAAAAAAGAAAATTACATATATTCAATTGATTGAATGTAAATGTGCAAAAACAGAGTTGTAAATGGACAGTATTGACATAAGTTAAAGTGCATGAGTGTAGACATGTTATCAGCAGAAACTATACAATATAACGGCGAGTAGACAGACAAATGAAGTGAACATGAGTGCATTAGTAAATTTAAACATGTGCAGAACAGATGACAGTTTGGAGAGACAGATATTATCATGATGACAGTTCTCTGCTCACAGGAGGTGAGCTGTTGTACAGAGTCGTAAAGGAATAAGTAGATTTATGTTTAGATCTTATTCTGTACTAAAACAACACTCGATGAGTCGGTTTCACGATATCACCCACACAAATATTAAGAATAAAAAGCGTTATTCATGAAACTTTTAACCACTCAAGTGTTTAAAAAGCTTGCGAGGGGTTGCTTAAATCTTTGAAAACCATAATCCAGCAGAAGGTTGAAAGCAACAAAGATGAAATAGACTTGATAAAACACTAAAGTAGAAGTAGTAGAAGTTCTCCAGGTGGTGCAGGAGGCTTTTAAATCTAACTTTTCCTCCGATCCGTCAACTTGCTGTTAGTTTAATTTGTGTTTTTTTCATGTATTTCATTTTCTCTTTTGTCCGTTTACAGTCATGTCCTTCCATCATGATCGTGCCGGTCCCAGAGGAGGAATGCCTCCAGGCCAGCATGGCTCCCCTCAAAACTACCGCCCCACCAACCTGAGGCAGCCACCTCCCCAGCCCCCTGTTCCTCCGTACCACTATGACCCCCAGACCCCGGCCGCTTCCGGCTACCATGGCAACACCGGCTACATGCCCGCACACTCCGACTTCATGCAGTACCCTCCACCTGTCCCCTCTCAGCCTCCAGGTTCTCTCAACCAGTGCCCCGTGCGTCCACCTTTCCCCAAGCCCCCTGTCCGGCACGGCTTCCCCGAACCCCCGCCTAACTTTCCACCCCCTCCTCTCCCCAGCTCCGCGGGCGGTCCCACCCAAGGGTCTCAGGTGTCTGCTCAAAACGCCTACCACCCTTACATGATGCCTCCTGTGCCCCCGCCACAATTACCCCACCCACCCATGCCGCCCCCTATGGCTTCACAGTCTATGGGCTACCACTCTCCGTACTCCATGAACTACCCCCACCCTCCTCACCCTCCTTTCCCTCCTCCGCCGCCCTTCAACCCGGGCTACACTCAGAGCCCCAGCACATTCAAACCTGACCACGGCTTCAGGCACGGGGGGCAGTACAAGTTTGAGAAGCCCGCCGACAGCCGCAGGTCTCCAGAGAGAGGCTATCACCACGACGACCACAGGACACAGAAGGGCTACGGCTACGGCAGCCACGGCGAGAAGAGTAAAATGGAATTTCCCGGAGAGAGGAAGGACCGCGGGAGGAGCCCAGACAGGCGCGGCAGACCGGAAGGGGGGCGGTACAGGTCAGAGTACGACAGAGGGAGGACTCCGCCCAGACACAGGAGCAGGGACAGAAGCAGGTACATGAAGATCTGACCCCCCCCCCCCTCAAAGTAACCATCTGTGACGTCATTATTATACACTGTGTGTGTTTCTTCACAGGGAGAGGTATCGACACAGAGAAAGTCGGAGATCCCAGTCGCCTGACAGACACAGAAAGAGACCTCGAAGGTACAAACGCAGCTCTGATTTTATTATTACTAATCCACACTTCATCAAATTAACATCAAATGAACATTATCTGTATTCCATATGTGCAATTCTGTGCATTATGGAGCAACAGGAATCTCTGCATGCTAACAACTCACACATATTTACATCAGTACACACACCTTTCTTTTGTTACTCTCTGGAATCAGTAAAGGAGCATGTTTTTTTTTTTTTTTTAGTTTTAGTTACTTTTATTATTATTGTGGCTTTCATGACATCATAAATTAAAAAAACGTTCTCGGTTCAGAGTAAGCTATATTCATTCTCAAGAAACAAAAAGAGAAAGCAAAAAGTTAAACTAATCAAACAGAATATCCTGTCTTCTTTTCCAAGCTTTTGAAGCAAAATTAGCAAGTTTAAAAACACATCAAACATTAAACAGCCCATTCCAGTTTCTGCACATCTGTCCGCCTCCAATATTTCAGATTTTACTTCATGAAACAATGATTCTCTTAAATCATCATATTTTGTAAAATGCAAAAGAAAATGGGACTCCGTTTCAACTTCGTCCAACTCACAAAGTCTGTTTTCTATTTTTGATATTTGAAGAAACAAACTGTGGCCTCAGAGAGAACAGGAAATGGAAATCATTGCAATGATTAGTCTTTAGAGACCAAAGAAACTGTACGCTCTGCCGTCTGGGATGCTGTGACACGTCAAATATAAGTCGAGGTCAATTGAAAGAATGTCTCTGACAGCAGAGAAGAAGGTTGTTGACATTTTTAATGCGGTGATGGTTTTTGATTCTTTTTGATACCACGTCTTTTAAAGCGATTTAATCTTGTTTTTTTGTTGTTTTTTTATGATTTTGAGTAACAAGAATGACCAAAGCTTTAAAAAAAAAACTAAAAAAAAAAAACTACTGATGGTCTGTTGTATTCTAAACTGAATGTTACCATGAGTGAAAGAGAGAAAGCAGCGGTGGTTCATTCAGATGCACAGGTTGACAAATACTGACATTTCTGTCGTCCCTTTGGTGTCTCATAACGATTTAAAAGCTTCACTAAGGAGGAGAATCTGTCTGATAGCAAAATATGTCGACAACGTTTCAGTACGGACATGTTAGTGCGGTGTGCAGAAGGAACCTAACAGGGAGTTAGATGATATTTGATGCACAGGGCTTCTGTTTTTGTTGCAGTTGGATCAAAATTGTTATTAATTTTGTTTTTTAATAATGTTATACAAAACAATAATAGAATGAAGAGGACAAAAACAAAATGGTTATAATAATATCTTTTATTTTCATTTCATCATTTATTTTTCTCTTAAGCCAGTTCAATGTTGTTGCCTTCTTGGCTGCTATGAGAAGTGAATTTGAATTTTACTATCACTGTATCCAAGTTTTAAACATCTGGTACCGTGACATTCTCAGAAGAGAGGACACATTAACTCTGCTGAGACGATCTGAGAGAACTTGACTCTTTCAATCACGTCTTCATTTAGCAATTGGAGCCGGTTAAACTGTAAATATGTGATTTTTAGCGTTCGTTCAAATGGTCACAAGTGGTTCAAAACTCCTCTCCTCATCGTGATGACTGTGTTCTTTTCTTATCTCAGTCGGTCTTCAAGCAGAGACAGGAAGCGCGGCCGCTGGGAGGACGAGAGGGAGAGGAGGTCCGAGAGCTCGTCCGGCCCGAGCAGAGAGCGCAGCTACGTCTCGGTCAGGAGCCGAGACTCCGAGGAGGCCTCGACCGACAGAGAGCGAGAGAGGGAGAGAGAGAGGGAGCGGGACCGAGACAGAGAGAGAGACAGAGAGAAGGAGAAGGAGAAGACGGAGGAGGAGAAAGAGGAAGAGGAGCTGCTGAAACCGGCGTGGATCCGCTGCACGCACGCCGAGAACTACTACTCCAGCGACCCCATGGACCAAGTGGTACTGTTGTTATTATCATATCTACATGTCTGTCCTGTCTGAAGCTTCATGTCTCTGGTGACCTGCAGCTGTTTTTACAGTCAGACCTGTCTGTTGATAAAGGGCGCCATAGGACCGACACTGCTCCGTTGATTTTTTACTGAATGTTTTATATTTCAGATTGTTGATTTCCAAATCAGACACGGAGCAAAGAGGATGTGGGCACAAGACACGATCCATAGGCGGCAAAAAAACTGGGAATTTCATACATTTGGAAAAGAGTGACGGTGACGTCTACAGCGCCTTTGTGAAAAGTTGAAAGATTTTCAACTTGAGCGCTCTGAGCGGCCGTACAAAAAAAGAGTGCGGAGTGCTCAGAAAAAATATGCTGGGTGCTGTGCTTTTTCTCCTCGCGGTCGCCTGCTGCTGAAAACGCTCTCTACTCTTTGAAAACAATTGAAAAAAAAACGCTAGGTATACACAGGCCCACCTTTCACCTTCATCAGAACTGCAGCGTCTGTTATTTGGAAATTGCCGGATTAAATTAACGTTTTGCTGCCTTACTCTTCCCCTTCATCACTTTACAGAGAGCTCTCCTAAAAGTTGCCTCAGTCTCAGCTTTCCAAATCACCACCTCTCCTCTCACATGCTTTTCTGGTGTCTTTGACTCTTTTGGATAGTCCTCTTTAAACTCTGACCTTTACCTGCAGCGTTAGTGTTTCCTTAACGCTGTCATCAGCTACTTCCATTCCACAAGTTGCACTTTACGCCCCGTATCTGTCGCGTCGTTCAATAAAACCAAAGTATAGACACGGAGGGAGCCTGGCTTCATTTCTCTGCTCCTACATGAACTGATCGGGTACACTCTGGGTTTTTTTCTGCTGTGACAGTGAAGACACTTTCCTTTGGAGTTTAGCACATAACTGCAGGTTTGTTTTTAACAGTGTAAACTCTTCACAGACATCAGACAACAAACAACTGGACCCTGCTTTTTATTAAAAGTGAAATTGTTGTCCTGTGTATTTAAAGGCTTCAGTCAAAGGAAAAGAGAGAGTCAGAGAGGTTCATGTTCTGTGTCTTCTTTTTGTTCAGGGAGACTCCACCGTGGTGGGGACCAGTAAGCTGCGGGATCTTTACGAGCGCTTCGAGGAAGAGCTGCTGAAGAGGCAGGAGAGAGCGAAGGCTGCTCGACCAAAATGGGACCCGCCCAAGACCAAACTGGACGAAGACCCAGGTGAGTCCTCCTGCAGAAACAGCACAATCAGTCAGCAGAATCTTTTACGACATGTGAATGGTCTTATAGTTTGACTGTGTTACTAAGGGAAGTCGCTGGATATAACAGCTGTAAGTAGGGGCTCGGCTTTGTGGCCTTAAAGTCAAATCTCCTTTGATCTCACACCTAGAACAATCCTGGTGTGCGCTGGCTTACTCTGATCTGTTCCCGCTCTATCTGCACCCTGCATGAGTAGCACGGCTGTGCACAGGGCGACCATCAATCTGTTTTGAATTGCTCTAGACTTTTGCAGACTTCGGTCGTCAAATTGGCTCAATAAGACGCTTCATAAAACTCATTTCTATCCTTCATTTTCTGTATCCTTGTCATTATTGTAAGCGTGTTCGATGTTCTGGATAAACGCAACGACTGAACAACAACAGCTGACACATCTGTTGCCGATCTTCTTGTAATTGATATGCATACAGAACTTGTTGTCTCTCCTCAGCCGTGCATCAGACTGAGGCAGAGATTAAGTTCAGTGTTGGTGATGTTATCTGCACGGCTGTCGGCCCCCATTGTCTTTTTTCCAGCACCGCAGTAACACGAGTCTCGCCGAAAGGAGATCTAATTTAGTTTAATATGATGCTCCGGGCACTGACTTCACAATCCAGTACTTGAACTAAATAATGCTGATAAGAATTGAAGACTTTGTTAAGCTAAGAATCTACAAACTGAACAGCTGAGCGAGAAGAAATCGAGAGAGTGTGGTTAAAAACGTGCTGCATTTTTAGACCCGTTGATCAATTTAGGTCTTGAATTGAATTGTTCTAAACAATGGATCTGTCATGTTGTTTGCTTTCCTAAAAAGAAGGTAATCCAAATGAGCTGACACATCCAAAACTCTGCTGTATCATCAGCTTTTAGAGGATAATCATTCGTCGACACGGGGAGGCTTGATTCAGAGTGAGAGCTCACAGTTTGAAAGCGTTTTTTTGACAGCACTGAGACTTGATGGTTTATAATGCATCAAGAGAGAGAGAGCTTAAGCACTCCACCGAATTGTGTCTCAGCCTTCAGCCCCGGTGATTAAAGAACCTTTTTCTTTTGGATTCAGACGACAGCAGCAGTGAGTCAGAATGTGAGTCAGACGCTGAAGGTAGCACCTGCTCCAGCAGCTCCGACTCCGAGGTGTTTGATGTCATCGCCGAGATCAAGAGGAAGAAAGCTCACCCCGACCGGCTGCACGAGGAGCTGTGGTACAACGACCCGGGGCAGGTTTGTAGCCCGCCTCTGCACTTGCCTGTGTAACATTTTATGTAACAAAATTCTTTATTCACCCCCTTTTTTTTTTGTTCTTCAATCTTCTGTAATTCTCTGCAGCTATAACAAGTGGCTGATGAAAGTCTAGATTACACAACATTAGGCATTAATAGACAAAAATGTAACCCTGGACAATAGCTGAAATGTTCTGTGTCATGTGCTGTTTTCACATTATGCACTCCAGAACAGCTCCTGAGGCAAGACATGACGTAAAATGACATGAAAGTTGCAGAAAAAGCAACCTGAGAGATCGCTATACGACGATATAATACAAATATTTTCCTTCATATCAAAGCTACCTGCAGTTGGACATAATCACAATATCAAAAAAGAGAGGAGAAGAACATACTGGAGAACAGAAAACAGAATGCAGCAGGTTAATTAAGTGCACAGAGATCAGACCAGTCACATGCATACAGTCTCATCGATCACCAATCACAAAGATTTAACGTCCCAACCCCTTCCACTCGCTCACTCCTGATTTTATAAATAACTAGAAGTGCTGATATGAGAATCTCTGGATAAAGTCTGAGTACTATTTGTCTGTTTACGTTCACACATGCAGCTCAACCCGAAAAACTACAAGAGTTTTGTGAAGGTGTGAACGCGGCTGTACTTTGTTTTTCATGAAGTAATCAGACTTTAGTAGATCATAGTGGTGACACAAAGCAGTAAACCATGAACCATTTTTTCTTATCTCTGCATGAAGAAAAGCAGAAAAACATCAGCCAGTGTTTCTCATTGGAGAAGCATGTTTGTTCAAATTGAGTTTTAAGAAATGTACCAGAATACTGACATAGATAAGAAAACTAACGTAAATTAAACTCTAACCTTTAGATTTCAAATACAGATTTAATTTCTGAGTTTAAAAGAGAACATGCTGAAGATGGCCACTGCTTATTAAGAGTCTTTAAAATTGTATACACACACACACACACACACACACACACACACACACAACATTGACATTTACACTTTTTTAGATCACATACTTTGTGAACAATTCGTCAACTAATGTTCAACTGTAACGATTTCAACCAAAATACAAAAAGAGATGTGCATCGACCTGCTGCACCTACTGTCTCCATTACATGGTTTGTCCAGCAGAGGGCACTGATCACTTCATACTGTTCTCCTAATGTTCCTCTGTACATGCAGCCAAGTCTAATATATCTTGATCAACATCTTTTATGTGTTTCACTTATGATCAAATAAATTCTATCAGTGGATATATTATGATTAAATCTTAAAGGAGAAACTGCCAGAATAATATGAAAGCATCTTGAAGAAATCACATATTACATAAATCAATTAAAGCATTTCACAGATTCTACATTTCAACACCTGTGCTCGGATCAATAATGTAGACAACCTCATGATATAAAACTTGTTTAATTGAGAGCAGCAGGTTTAGAATCCTCTCTGGGAGGTTTTTTAAAGCTCTGAAGTTAATAAAGGAAGATCAATGACTTCATAAGACGAGACAGTTTGTGGTGTGACGTCGAGCTGCACGGTGAGGAGAGTGATCGAACACTATTGATGTGATTGAATGTCATTTTTCTAACTGTTTCTAAATGTCAGTCAGTGAAATGCTGTTGCCATAGTTTACCTTCACACGGCGCAGGAACTGTCACGTAGTGCCAAAGTAAAAAAAATACAAAGCAGTAGTGCAGGAGTTTGCACTTTTGAGAGCGTGAAACGTTCAGCTGCCTCCGTGTTCTACATGGCAAGTGAATCAGCTGTGTCTGATTTACGTATTTCCTTTCTGTCCAGATGAATGATGGTCCCTTGTGTAAGTGCAGTGCCAAGGCCAGACGTACGGGGATCCGCCACAGCATCTACCCGGGGGAGGAGGTATGACACGCCGTGCATAAATCACACTTTCATAACCTTGAAGCGGTGCCACAGGGGGGCAAGGACGTTATTCCAGTGCACCTGAATGTGTTCTCTGTACAGCGGCCAGTTTTTCATTTGGATTATAGGGGACAATAGGATTTTTATAATCACAAAGAGCCAAATGATGATATTACGTCTGGAAGAATTTGACAGGGGAGTTGATCTGCATTCGTCGATTATTCTGCCAGGTGCCGAGATTTCATTTCAGGCCCTCCTGTGTTATTGGAAGGAAAGCGCCCACATGATTCTATCCGCAGCTGACCAGTGTGACTCATTTAAGAAAAATATAGTCTATCAACCTCGTGTTTATCAAAGGTGTGATATCACTGCTGTGTTTGGAAATCATTTCACCGTTTATCTCCAAGGAGAAATGGGAGGTTTGTTCCAAAGGAGAGGAAAGTCGATTTCCCCTTCTGTTACCGTTAAGTGACTGTTGGAGGTCATAGGTCACTTAATGAGTGTTAACCTCAGAAGCTTTTTTAACATCAGGCAAGGCAAAGCAAGGCAGCTTTATTTATGTAGTACATTTTAAACACAGAGGCAATTCAAATAGTAAAAGAAATGGAAAGAGTGCCGTTTTGATATTTAAAAAAGTCAGTTAAAAGCACATGAACAGGGGCGCAGATGGCCTAGCGGTGAGGTAGCGCCCCATGTAGGGGGGGGGGGGAGCCCTCTGCTTGAGACCGGCCTGTGGCTCCTTTCCCAGAACACTCTTGACCTTGTTTCCTACTCTGTTCACTGATCCTATCCAATAACAGCAAAAAGACCCGGAAATGCAACTCTAAAGGGGAAAAAAAGGACACTAAATTAATTCAATATTAAGCACATTTTTATTTTTATTTTTTGTTTGTTTTTGTTTTGTTTTGTTTGTTTTGTTTGTTTTTCCTTTGTTTTACTGTGTTTTGTTTTGTCCTGGCTTTATTTATGGAGAGGTGAAGTGTACCTCTTGTGTTTTTGTTTGTCTATTGGGTGTTACTATAATAAAAATAAATAAAATAAATAAAATAAATAAATAAATAAATAAATAAAATAAAAATATTAAGCAGATAACAGTGTAGTATTAAGATGGAAGTCACTGTTCAACGTGGTAGAAAGTTTGGTGGCATGTTACACATGTATGTTGGTTAAATTCCTTAAATATTCCATAAAAGAAGAAATCAGTATTAATTAATTAAAGTATTAATGAAAGCTGTCATTGTATTGAAGTCCACAGACACTAGTTCAGAAGTTTAAAAGTTCCATCAGGTTATTCTTCTCTTAAAAAATGATGTTTTTGTCAGGGTGACGTAGAGTACAGGGTTTGCCACCATTATTGTGTCACTCAGTTGACTAACTGCTCATTACGTCTCTGCAGAACTGAAAATGTTAATAATCATTCGGGGACTTTATTCAGCTTATCACTGTTTTCATTCAAATCATGTCAAATACATTTTTAGTCACCAGGTTTCTCTACATCGCTGCTCAGAAATATGTGAAGATGTTTTTATCCACTGTTTGAGTTTAGACTGAAAGCTTTTCTCCGCTCTTTTTCTAACTTAAGAAGAACCAAAGAAGAAGTCTTTGGTTGTCTGTGTAAGCTTTGTAAATGACTTTCCTCTTAAACAATGTTAGAGGTGAGCTACAAAACAAACAAACAAACAAACAAACAGATGGGGACAAAGCTTTTCTTGGATCCCATTCTCGAAATTGATTTTAGAAAATAATTTAAAGAAGGTGAAGAAGTGTGGGTCAGCATCATTTTTAAAATGTAAGGATTGTTGAAAAGGGTCCAACAAGTTGTCTGGGTTCATTTTGAACTCTATTTCTTTTTCTTCTGTTGTGGAAACAGAAGAAACAAAAGGGTATGTAAACAAAAAAGTGGATTTTTACATCACTTTTTTGTAGATGTGTAATGTGAGTAAAGTGTGCTCTCAGGTGTGATCACTATAAAACATTAATTAAATATGAAAATATAATAACTAACATGCCGGTTCTTGACTTGTGTGTGTGTCTTCCAGTCCGTCAAACAATGCCGAATTATGAACAACAATTCAGGCAAACTGTTTCACTACAGGATCACCGTGTCCCCGCCCACCAACTTCCTGGTATGACTCTGTCTCTTTAAAATACCAGAAGTTTACTTGTATGTATACTATCTGTAGATTGTTGAATTGTGTTACATAATTGATCAATTGAATTAATAATGATTGTTCACTATGTTAAATACATTTGATTGAATGTAGAGCCTGACCGATAAATCAGCCGGCCGATATTAGCATGTCCAGTGAGTATCGGTATCGCAAGTATGCGCCGATATTACTGGATATATTCCACATTAAAAAAGCATTTAATTTGAGTTTCACTGTATTACACTCGCAGTTCTCTTTCACCAGCTTATAGATTACAACTCTCCAGAGTGTCGAGCGGTGATGCACAACATGCACAGTTACTTTCCAATCGAGAGAACATCTTGTCTTTTCCACAAGTGTTTGATAACTGCATTTGAGGACACAATAAATGTATTTATTTATCTCTACAGATCCAACATACTGTAGTCTAAGATAGATATCGGCCGTTATATCGGCACCAGATTTATTTTTTCCTCCCCAATATCGATATCTGTATCGGCCCCTGAATATCCCATATCGGTCGGGTCCTAATTCAGTGTAATGCCTTCAGTCAAGGTGTGTATATTTATGGCTCTGCTACCTTTTGGTAAATGTTGTTTTGTGTTTCAGACGGACAGGCCGACGGTGATCGAGTACGATGACCACGAGTATCTGTTTGAAGGCTTCTCTCTTTTCTCTCACAAACCTCTCACTAGTGTAAGTCTGCTCTCGTTTGGATTCTCTATCTCAAATCCTTTCTGCCTTCGTTTTACATCCCAAAATGTTGAATTTTATGTATCATTGCGCAGTCTTTGTGTCTGGAATAATAATGTTTTATAATAGTTCTGACTTATTATTGCGGTTCTGGTTCTCACCGTCGTCTGAGTTGGAATTTACTTTTCTTTTTCTTTTTTTTTGTGATGTTTGAAGCTCTGCTGTGTCCATGATCTTTCTTTTTTTTTTTTTACTCCTCTTGACCACTGCTCTCTCATCACTTTAACCACATTTGACCCCTGCTCTGCTGCTACATGTCTGTTAGGGCTACACATGCTGTATAATTTTCACTAGATCAGCATATAAGAGCCCCCCCCCCCCTTCCTTTAACTCCTCTCTCCTCAAAAATAACTTCAAATGTGCTTTTGGCTTCGGGGTCGGCTCCTTTGTTGCTCGGACAAAGTGCTCCTCTCTCACTGTGCTGACCTTGCTGCAGAGTCCCCTGCCTCACTTTTGAACGCCCCCATCAGTGACTATCGAACATGAGAGGTCATGACTTGAAAGGAGCCTCTCTCTCTCTCTCTTTTTCTGCAGCCATTTGACTTTCCATTCGAGAAGACGCTTTAAAAGCAGGAGGAAATCAATAAGAGGGGAAGGGGGGAGCACCAAATTTCTTGAAAACGGGTTGAAAGTGTGAATAGTTCCGTGCCTAAACGCACACATGTGCTGTCGGCAGCCTACGTTTTCCCCTGCATGTTTGAATAATAAACTTACTCGGTCAATATCCGTCTAGCTTGAAGAGAAGAGCCACGAGGATTAGGGACGATTTGAACTGGATAATTTAAGCAGCCCTTGTTAAAAGCTGGGGGTAAACGCTTCGTGGCAGCGCGGGGGGATTAGGAGCCTCAGAGCGTGGTGATATATTAGCCCCCCCTGCTAGTTAACGGCTGGGATGGGCGAGAATAAATGTGTCTGCCCAGGTTAATCTCTTAAAATGGACCCCAGCGCTCGCACAACAAAGACCGTGTAACAGGGGAGATTATACACAGAAGAGCAGGCTTATCTATTTAGTGAGATTTGAGTTACTTTATTTCCAAGAGAGCGTGTGTGTGCGTGTGTGTGGAGGCTTGATTTGTCGAAGTGTTTGCACATGTCTCACTAAAGGTTACACATGTTTATATGTTAGAGCGTCAAGTCAAGTACACACATTCAAGTAGAAGTACAGATACTTGATCCCAAGAACCCCGGTGAAAGAAGATGTACTGATTCGAGTTGTGAAAGTGAAAAAGTACGGGATCTGAAATGTACTCTGAAGGACATTTCTACTGACTGTTTCAATGCAAAGCTAACGGAACAAAGGGAGAGTATTAGACTTAAGTTTCTCTGCCTTCAAATTATGTATCCTGTACAGTAATATAATGTATCTTTGCTCAGATGAGAAAATCAGTTGGATGTGGAATGATCGCTCTGTAACAGTCAGTATCACACAGGAGGCACTGCTACTCATTTACTGAATATAAAGATGGCTGGGATACAATGTTGTCCAACAGCGTGGGCACCAAACCATGCTGAGCGAAATGTATTCAACATGTGTTTTACATGTCCCGTTTCACTCACCCATGTCCTGTTGGTTTGGAGGAGGCGGAGCTTATGACCTATACTGCAGCCAGTCAGCAGGGGGAGCATCAAATGTTTTGGCATCACTTTTTCAAAGAGCTGTTATGACGTCCATCTGTTTTATTCAGCCTGTGGTTCAAAAATCAAATATGAACACTGCTGGGATTCAGTCAAAGGCACAAGTGCAAAAAAACGCAATCACAGCATGTTCCTGTTCAACACAACAGCATGACCTCTTTTTATTAACACTTCTACAAGCAGCATTTTGTCAGTAAACGGTATTGAGCAACAACCGGCCTCTTTTTCTGCAACACAAACAAATTCCTGCACAGCTGTCACGTTAGGAAAGGCTGATATTTGGGTTGAACTGCCGTACAAAAAGTGAAAGTCAGAAGTTGTCAGAAATTCACATACTTAAGTAACACTGAAATCACAACTAAGATTTACTCGGTTACTTCTCACCTCTGTGGGTTTCTGTGAGTATGCACATCCTTTACATGCATGCGCCTCTTTGTCTCCATCTCGGTTGAGCTCCGCATAAGCAGGTGAAGGCTTTAATGAGTTTCCTTGAAAAGCTGTAACCTCTTGCCTAACGCCGTGGTAATGAGTGGGCCTGTCCTTTCTTCTTCTCGTCCTCTGTCCCTTTCATCATCACAGATCCCATTGTGCCGTGTGATCCGCTTCAACATAGATTACACCATCCACTTCATAGAGGAGATGACACCGGAGGTCGGTAAACCCCCCCCCCCCCCCCCCCAGCTTTATCTCTCGGCTCTTTCTCACTCTTTTTTGTTTTTATCTCAAACGGCTGAGCCCACGTGTAACCCTCACACCTCGGTGCCTGGGTGAGCCCGAGGTGCTAATCCTCGTAGAAGAGGGAAACTAGATTCTGATTACGTCGATAAGGTGGCTTATGTGATAAAGTTAGAGAACAGGATTTACTTATCAGCCATATCTACATTATAGTACTCTTCATAGCAGTATTTAAGCTCTTTTTTTATGAGTCTCTTCCTCTTACTGTACGCTCACAGAGTCTCTCTCTCTCTCTCTCTCTCTCTCTCTCTCTCTCTCTCCCTGTGGTCAGAACTACTGTATCCGAGGCCTGGAGCTGTTTGCTTCCTACTTGTTCCAGGACGTTCTGGAGCTGTACGACTGGAACCTGACAGGTACGAGTCGAAACGCAAAGAGGCCGGTTTTTAAGGAAGAGATTTGGCAGCTTTACATTTCACAAGTTACTTTTGCTTCTGTTGGGTGGGGGTTGTTGTTGCTGTGTAAATTCAATGATGAAATCGTGAAACAGACTGTGGATTATAACACAGCCGAGGTCAGACAGTTACAACAGAACACAAATTGTTAACAATCATGAACCGACAAAGTACTGACAAAGTTTCTATGTTAACAGACTTGCTTATATTCTGCTAGAAGGTACATCCTACAAATTATTGGCTACTTCGGTACATCTCTATGAGGCAGGAAAGAAGACATCAGTTTGACTCGTAAATGTCAGACATATACATTTTATTCTTATCAAACCTTTGTTTACAACAGACAGTTGGCTCCTAACCAATATAACCCTGAAGCTATGAGATGTTCTACAGAGATATGGTTACAGCTTCAACCTAAGAGAAGAGTTACTCTTAGATGGTAGACAGATTTAAGTGGTTCATTCACAAAGTTACCAAAATGTATGAATTCATGAAAATTCAGCTTCCAAATGACGTTTGAGTTAAAGTGGTACGCGTCAGATGAGCACGAGGACGTGATCTTCTACTTCAGTCACATTCAACACTGCAGATATCCTACATAACAGTTGAATCATTTATTGAAATCATCTGAGTTTTCTACTGGATTCTTACAATTTTCAAAGTCTGAATGAGTATGACAAGGAAAACTTGACAAATATTTCTGTTTCTAAATCGCCAGAGACTTTATGAAAATACATTTATTGAACTCTTTCCAGACGATTTTGAGTCTTAAATTCATGCTATGATAGAATAGAATAGAAGAGAAGTTTATTTATAAAGCACATTTCATTACAGGTAAGCTCAATGTGCTTTACATTGAAGATTAAAACAATAAAAAAACATAGGAATACAAGAGACAAAATAGCTGTTTCAGCAATCATGAATATGATACAAAAATCAGATTAGGGACAAAACAAAACACTTACACATACCCGCATATACGCAAAGAATAATTATTTGTATGCTTGAGAGAATAGATGCTGATGCTCTCACTCGGTAAAGCATGAAGTCAACAGCCTCTAGTTTTCCTTTAGGGCTTGCTTGACAATCCCACATGTAACGCCTGGCAACATGATAGCAAACGTTTTCATAATCCAACACACGGTTTAACAGTAACATTAGAAAACCCATTTAATTACACAATAGGGAACATGCTCTGAGTACCAGGATGTTTAATATGGTCAGAAACATCCACACAGAAGATCAAAACTTTGAGCCTCTGGAATTCTGAAGTGGAAACCCTGTTGTGTTACATGATATTATAAACTAATGAAAGTCAACTCATCAATCATTTTAAATCATCCTGACTCAAAGAGCATCGTGTTTCACTCTTACAGTCACGGATACGCTTTCAGATTGATTTTCTCAAACAGTAACAACAAACTCTCTGTATGTGTTTCCTCTGTCAGGTCCTGAAGATGAAAACGAGGAGTCTGGATGCCAGCAGTTTCATTTCATGCCTCGTTTTGTTCGATTCTTACCAGGTGAGACTTAAGCCCCTGTTTCCACCAAGCGGCCTGGTTTGGTTCAGTAGAGTTTGGTACGTTGAACCCTGATCCGGCAGTCAGCACCCTGACTGGAAGCTGTCTGCAGGATGCCGACATCCGCGTCTGCTATGTATAGTAATGGCGTGACATCATAGCAGCGCCACACAGTGTAGGACAAGGACAACAATGGAGAACGTTCAGCTGAGGGTCTGTGCCTCCAAGGTCGTCTGTCCAGCGGTGCTACACGCTGATATTAGTCGCAACTACTTTCTCAAAATCCACAGGATATTTAAACACGGCGCGTTTTGGTGTATTTCCTTTACTACTGCACAGGAAGTGATGATTCTTTCGACCAATCACATCCTACATTGTGTCTAGCTGCGCCATTTAGGATCACATCAGTATGATTGGCACCCTCAACAGAAGATTATCAGAAAAGCAGGACAGTACAGATCATTCTATTGGTACCATTAGCAACTTTGGACAGTGGAAATGCTTACAAATGCGTATAGTACAGAAGCAGACCGCTTGGTGGAAACAGAATGTGATGGGTTGAAGATCAAATGGCGTTGGATTTACTCGTCTATGTTCACTTGAGGAGGAACAAGCTTCCACAGGACTCCGAAGTAAAACTGATAAAACATTTTCCTTTAATGCACAGTTTTGTTAAACAATCTTACTGGATGATTCAAAGTCAAGGTCTCCTAATCAATGAACTATAGTACGGTAAAGAAACCATGTGGACTGAAGAGCTCTCTCTCTCTTAAAGTGACGGTAACCTACCTCACCGCTCTTAACATCAATACCATGCTGCTTTTAGCTTTACAGAAAATCCACATGAATTAAATCAAATTACCTTTAGCTGACTTTTAATACATTTTATAACTTAACTTATACAATGAAATCCCTAAAATAAAGATTAACTTTCAACCCAAAATTACACTGCTTATTTATTTACTCTAACATGTATGAATGTAACTTGGCTCCTACACAGAACCTGCTGGAATTTGTCTCTCTCTGCTGGTCACACTTCTCATAGACTTTAAGGTCAAATCTGATCCTGCAAAGAAGCTGCTTATCTCCAATAATGTACTAATCCTTGCATCCTGTCTGCATGCTGCTGCTGTCCATGTTTGTGTTAGGATGTGTGCAGAGTGCTTGAGCTGCTGTGTGTCTGCATGGTGTTTCATCTTTGCTACACATGATGGTGCTGGTGCACTATCACATCGCTTGCCCATGTTTTGTTATGACAGTTGTGCCTCCTACCTTATTTTCATCAAAAAACAATTTCTCTCCCAGCTCTCCCAATTCAGTCTGCTACAAACACTTATCTGCCTTTTTTTTATTATTTTTTACAAAAGCACCAAAAAAAAAAAAAAGAAAAGAAAAAACTGTCCAATCGGATGTTTGTGATGTGATCTGTGCAGAGGCAGAGAGTGAGAGGAGACGGGGAGTTACAGTGAGAGCATGATGATATTTGGAAAGTTCCAGTGGGAGTGTGTGTGGGTATGCATTTGATATTGTCTTTAATGCATTTCCAGGGGGCGAGTAGAGGGGCGGTGGATGTTTGTGTGACTGTCCATTTGAACGCTCTTAAATGGAGGTCAATCAATTTTGCATGAGTGTCTATTAAACGAGCTCCATTTGACCTGCTGGGTTGCATGCACATTGCCTGGCTGTACTTCTCTGTTTGTGTCGGCCTGTCGGCTGCTCACTACTCGTTCTTTTAATGCAGATTTGAACGTCATTGCACACAGGGTTTTATTATGTGCATTCAAGTACCGTAGGACATCTGGGCCTCTGTTTACCTGAGCAGCTCCAGAGAAATACGGGGAACATTTGCACAGCATAGAGTTTGAGGAGGTCAGACACGTTTGATTCATAGTTTGTGTCACAAACATTTACTGATTTGCAGAATCTGTCATTTGCAGGTTTGGTGTTTTTTTTTTGATCGGTAGATGCAGAGTCTTCTTTACAAAAGTGGCTGAAGATGAAACAAAGATTTCCTCCAACATTAACCTTTGTTTTTTTTTGGGTTAAGGGTGTTGAGCAACAAATTCCTTTGTGGGGAAACAAATATCACAAACTGTAGAAAGTGAACCACACAGACCCTCTGGATGTTTGTTTTTTTATATACTCCTTTGCATACATGCATTCATTCCCTGTGTGTTTTCATCTCCATTAATTGTCTTAGATGGGGGGAAGGAGGTGCTGTCCATGCATCAGGTGCTGCTGTACGTCCTGCGAAGCAGCAAGCCGCTGGTCCCCGAGGAAGAGATTGCAGATATGCTGCAGTGGGAGGAGCTGGAGTGGCAGAAATACGCGGAGGAGTGCAAGGGCATGATCGTCACCAACCCGGGCATGGTGAGTGAGGCCTCAGCCTCTCTGCTCGCGGACAGGAGGTGGCCTTGTCTGTTTTCTCAAGGGCAGCCCCTCACCCCTCACCCCCCCACCCCCCAATCCCCACCCTCCCCCCCTGACACTGCAGGAATAAGACTGTTCCTGTTAGCCCGTGACATTAGCAACCTCACCTATTATCCCCAAGGGCGTTTGCTGTCATCCAACAGTGTTCTGGACGAAGCGTTTATGTCACAATCAAGTGGGTTAACCTTCCTGTCTGCTCCATATTTTTAAAGGATGTACAGTAATTTAGTCTGGGGAAAGGTGAAGATGTCATTGCTAGCTTAAAGGTTGCATATGAACAGTGAATATGGTTGTGTAACCTTTTTGGCGTGGGTGAGTTATTGAGTCAACCGCTCCTCCTGGCAGCGCTGAATTGTTGCTGTCAGGGTTTCCACACAGGTGGGAGTATAATAGTCCTCAATCCCTCGACTCAAGTTAAAGACTGGTCTGCCAGTCAAACTGAGTCTATTAAAAAAGGTCATCTAGAGAGATTTACCCCGTGTGCGCTTGAAGATAATACTTAGCTGAGGAAAAGCAGGGGTCAGCAGTGGTTATCTACGACGTCACTCAAATAAACATTTTGATTTAAAGTAACAAAACAAGCAAAACCCTGTTTCATACAGTGAAGTGACTGGTTTTCAAATTAGGAAATAGTTTATTTTCATTCCCAGCAGTTTACCTGCGTCACCCGTGACTTTTAAGTTGGACCGCAGCTCTGATTCAGCTCTCACTTATTTTTTTCAATTAACCTGTTCAGTAAGTCCAAAAGATTATAAAAAGAAAAGGAAGAACTATTTTATTAAATGCTTACTCGAAGATCCTTGAAATATCACGGAGCTGAATCACAGCACGTCGAAGGCCTCTGGATGTTTATCTGGTGTTTGAATTTTATTTATTTTCTGACGCATATCAGACTTTTTCTTTTTTTTTTTTGCCACTAAATATTTTTTATTTTTTCAACAGAAAAAACATCAACAACATAACATCAGAATAATTGCCAGACATTTATACATGTTCCATTTTAGGTCGTAACCTAAGTAGTGCAGTTCACAAGGGCTCTTTAAATTGCTTCTCATAATTGACATGATAAGATAAAATAAGAAATAAAATAAAAAATAAAACAGTGAGGGGAGGGAAACGACATAAAGTTGTCAAAATGTCAGACTTTTTCTATGAATGAAGTTCTGTTAATCCATCAATCAACCAATTAAAAAACTAAGATATGTCATGATGAAAAGTTTATAAAAAGAGAAGAGTTAGTTTGAAAATCTGCAACCAGTCAGTTTTTGTTTTATTTTGAAAAATATCCATCTGACTGATATCTGGCAGTTGGACCGTAGTTTTTTTTTTTCAGATTTGTTATGAATTGGCAGCACAGTAAGACAGATTGTCTGATTTGATTAACCATACGTTACACTTTATTGTCCCTTTGGGGAAAATTTGTCTTGGACTCAAAGTGTTGCCAAACATTCAGCTGCGTCCACGACAAACAATACTTCCAAAACAAGAGAAAAAGACATCTACACATTAACAGAAAGACACACATACTCATGCAACACAACATAAATTACACAAGATCTGCAAAAACACAGCATGAGAGAAGGAGTATCAAAAACATACAGGAACACCATGATGCTATTACTCCACCCACACAGCCTTATGGAACATTATTTACTGTCCATTGAATGAACCTATAGGAACAGTGTTACGCAGACATCTAAGGCCACCATCAGATGTGTTGTTTTGAGATGTTTGTTTGGAAGGACAATGTTTCCCAGCACACTGTTCAATGTATAGCTGATGGTCATGGACTGACCTCGACTGAGTGAATATAACTGACGCAGTTTGTGATCATGTGGACGGATGTGATCAAGAGAAGAACTCTGTGTAAGAAGAGCAGCGTAATACACCAGAAGAAGACTACATCAGAAACCTTCAAGAAAAGAGTTCAAGGTGTGGGGGGTGTAGATGGCCTAGTGGTTGGGTCGCGTCTCATGTACATGTGAGGCAGAATTCCTCCTAGCGGGCGGCCCGGGTTCAGATCCGACCTGTGGCTCCTTTTACTGCATGTCGGCCCCCCCCCCCTCTTTTTGCCTGATTTCCTACTCTATCCACCACCGTCCTGTCCAAATCAAGGCAAACAAACGCCCATAAATTAACATTAAAGTCTTTATCTGTGATTTTTCTTACTTAAATGTAGAAATCAAGTATATCCTCTGAAAATAACTCTGTGAGTCATGGCTGTCTACAATGGGTGTAACACCCGAGTCCCACTGTCTGTGATGTTTTCAGAGTTTTCAGAGTCCTATCTTCACTTTGTTTACATCGCCCGGACGGCCGGCTGACTCCTCCCCTCACATATAAAAGTTGTTTAATTGAGGGACTAGAGAAAAGAAGAATAACATACTGTACTCACTGCTTAACTGTGTTTCTAGATCACGCTCATTTCAGGTAAATTTACATGCAGTGTGAAGATACCAGCATAATAAAGATCGCTAGCATTAGCATGCTAACACAACAATGCAGCGCCAGTTGTTTTGGTTTCATGCTGGTGCTCAAGGGCGACATCTGCTGGATCAAAAAAAATCACATATAAAGACTTTAAAAAGAAAAAAAGAGAGATGTGCAAAGTGCAAGAAGAGGTCACATTAAACACTGCTGTTACCTTTTGAAGCCATTTTCTTCAGAATTGTGTTTTTCTTCATTTATTCTGTGTACATATTATCTCGTTGTTTCTTAATGAAGAGACTTTGCGAAAACAACAAAGCCGAAAACGTATGCATTGTAATGTATCTTTAAAGAGTTCAACATTTAAAAAAATATATTAAAAAAAACATTTTGTGGTGCCACCTCACTTTCCGCATGCTCCTATATCATATATAAATCAAACCCGCTTTAGCTGTGCCAAGGTCACACATGCTGCAGCAAATAATGGGCTTCAGCTGCCAATCAAACGCGCCATGCTCAAGTGATTACTTCAGGCGGTGGCATGTTCCACAATGAGGGCACAAATGTCATCAGCCTTCGTCAGCGTCGATGCATTAAAGTAAAGGTAAAGAAGCGGCGCATGCTAAATGGGCCTTGTGTTTATATAAATTAGCATTTACAATGTTTTTGCGTCAGGGGTTGTAAACAGGGCAATCATCGAGGCCTCCATCAAGCCAATCAAACCTGATTATGTCGCTTTAAAAGCCAAATCAAAGTTGGCTGGGTGACCCCGTCGCCCTCGAATCAAAGTTTGTATGCAGGGCGTGAAGAGCGAGCATGCTGCGGGCTAATGTCAAGGTGAGCGCGAGAGCCTCGAGCCATCTGCCGCGCCGCTCATCACGCCTTATGCTACAGCTCTTTCCTCTGATCTCACAAAACGCCTGACAGGCTAAGTGCGGTTTGGGAGTCGGCTGAGGACATGTTGCTTGTCGATCCCGCTCCCTTATAAGGGCGTCAGGAGTTAGCATGTCATTGTGTGTCCGGCGTGCTGCCGAACCGAGCCTCATTGTTTGATGTTACACTTGTTGTTAGATCATTGAATGACGGCTGCCTGAAAGTGTGTAACGATGTCGTGCCTCTGTGTGTTGACTGTGTTTGTTTTCTTTTGTTGTTGTCTTAGAAACCGAGCTCGGTGCGGATCGACCAGCTGGACAGGGAGCAGTTCAACCCGGACGTCATCACCTTCCCCATCATCGTTCATTTTGGGATCAGACCCGCTCAGCTGAGCTACGCAGGAGACCTCAGTAAGAGCACACACACACACACCACACACACACTCACACACACACATGAACACCACACCCACACACCTGTACATACACAACACACACACACATGAACACACACATCACACCACACACATGAACACACACACACACACACATGAACACACACCCCACACACCTGTACACACACACACACACACACACACCTGTACACGCACACGCACACACACACACATGAACACACCATGAAACACGCACACACACACACTGTACACACACTCACACAATGCACACACACAACACTGTCACACACTCATCACACACACTCACGCACACACGCACACACACTCACACACTCACGCCACACACATGATCACACACACACACACTCCTCACACACGCACACACACACACACACACACACAGCATATGCACACACACCACACACACACACAACACACAACACAACACACACACACACACACACACAACCATTTCCTTCAACTCTGATCTTCATTTTGGAGAGAAGATAATTCAACACACGGTTGTTTAAAAGTTGTTTACACTCATTGACCACACAAATAATCAACTGGCAGAAAGTATCCAGACTTTGATTTACTTATCCAAACACTTTACTGCTGCTGTGTGTGTGTGTGTGTGTGTGTGTGTGTGTGTGTGTGTGTGTCCTCTCCGCTCTGCCCTCGTCATACTGCAGCTCTCGTTCAGCCACAGCGAACGTTCTCTTTCACAGGTCTGCAGATACGACACTTTGTCACAACTATTCGGCGTCTCGTTTAGACGCTCACTCGCCCTTGAGCGTCGTTTGCAGACAGTTAGGATAGGTGAGAGACGGTGTACACCTTCTTTCTTTTCTCCTTGTCTTCACCTGCGGGGGGGGGGCTGTTGGCCTAGCAAATGCCCCATGATGACTTTCCTCAAGAAATGTCGAGAAACAGAATCAGAGAACACACACACACCACACACACACACACACACACAGAGGCGTTTTCTTTGCAGCACAGACGCCACATGCTTCTTCTGTAAGGACAAACTTAAGCAGGTTGATGAGATTAATGAGTGGGAATAGTTTCTCATGCGTCTATTGTTTGTTTATTTATTTATTTGTCTTAGATAAATGATCAGGAAACACATCATTGTCCCTCCTTTAGTGTGTTCAGGAACTTTTTTAAAAAAGTCCAAAAAAGATAAAACAGCGGCGTCAGGTATCTTGTAATTCATCAGAGTTAAATTCTATTATTGTTACAACCGTAACACAAATACGACACCCGCCCCTTCACTGTGTTTTGTCGCTCGTTCTCGAATCCTATTCACCGGCGCTCTCCCAGGACACTTGTGACGGGCGGAGTCTCGTGTGTCACACGTAAGGAGGATAGAGAAAAGACGCGTGTCAGAGCAGACGGGGGGGGAGATATGAAAAGAAGACCTGGGAGGGGTGGGGGGGGAACGAGTGCGTGACATTTTCACATGCATCGTCACGGGTCGCTGGGTAGCCTCCGCCGTGGGAGCTGCTGCAGGTTTTATGTCTCGTGAATAGTAATGCACACACACACACACAACACACACCCACACACACAACAACACACGCAGAGATGCCACAGGGCTGCAGCAGGGAATACAGTACTGTGCTGCTGCTGCATAATTAACAAAAGCAGTGTATTAGATCGTCTGAGCGGCGGTCTCTGGCTGTGACAACGCAGGCGCAATCGAAAAAAAAGTCGCTACACACAACTTGTGCTCACGTTCTAATTTTAAAACCTGTAGCTCTCTTAGGGGGGAATGTGGTCGATGAAGATGCAGACAAGAGGAGGATCATTAGGATGAGCGGCGGTCTCTGGGCTGTGACAACGCAGGCGCCAATCGAAAAAAAAAGTCGCTACACACAACTTGTGCTCACGTTCTAATTTTAAACCTGTAGCTCTCTTAGGGGGGAATGTGGTCGATGAAGATGCAGACAAGAGGAGGATCATTAGGAAATGTATCTTAAGCAGAACTACTTTGCTTCCCCCCCCCCCCACTAATGTCCCCTCTCCCCCGCCGTAAGTTTTTCAGCGGCCTGTCCGCCCAGCCCTTTCATCCCCGCTGCTGCCATGTCCAACTTCTCAAACGCGACAGACAACGACAAATTTATGGATGGACTGGGACTTCATTAGGCGATGCAGAAAAAAACGAGTAGTAAGAGAATGCAGCGGGAAAAGGATTTCCTACCGCCGCCTAATGATGCGCGTAGCGAGGGCAGGAGTCGGTTTTGATTGCGGCCACAGAGAGGGGCAGCTTTTCGGACACAGCAGCAGCATATATTAACTCAGGAGACTGAAGAAGCTGTGTTTGTCTTCTTCTTCTTCTTTTTTTCTTTTTTTCTCCCGCCTCCTTACATCGCCCTGCATGACGAGCTTGTGGTCAGGGTCGCCACTCGAGGTTCGTTCAAGCTCCATCACGGCCGCTGAGGCGAGAATGATGACAAGTCAGAGGTCAGGGGATGTAAAGAAAGAAGAGCAGGGCGAACGAGGGATGAAACAACGAGAGAGAACATGATGGGAGGACAAAAACAGAGCACATGACTGGCATACAGGAAGGAAGAAAGTGAGAGGTAGATTTAGTGGAATCCAAAGAGAGACAGAAGCCTCTTTCAGACACGATTAAATGAGCTGTCGTTGAATAAGTCTCTTCTCTGAGAAAGCAGTGATGACAATCTTGCATGTTTGGACCATGCAGGATTCTTTTACACAATCCAGCCGGGCTTAAATCTTAATCAAATGCTGTCACATATGGACTCAGAGTGGCAGGCTCTCTCTTGTCAGAGATTTATATACTGAGCTCTGATTCTCTGCTGATGCACAGTGAAGTATTGTCACTTCTTAGTGCTGTGTTTCCATGTCTACCTTTTTCTTTTGTTAAGCTGGTAGCTTGTTTAAGTTGTATCATAAGGAGTTCAGAAGTTACTGTCCTCTCTTTTTCTTCACTTTTCTTTCTTTACATACTTGACAGAAGTAGAAAAAGAAAAACCCGACAAGCCTCAGTTTTCACAAGTTAAGCAGAATAAGCGTGATTGTGTTGCTCTCTCTATGTGTGGAAATCAAACATTTGCATTCGCTGTTGGACACATTTCAAGTCTCTGAGTTGATGTGAGCAGAGCCAGCAGCTCTACCTCAATGAACTGAAATTCTGTCACATTTTCAGTGTTCAGTCTATACGTGTGAATGGAGGTTAATGTAAAGGCTACAGCAGCACAATCCAGGATTATGAAATCAATGATTGTTTTATTATGAGCACTGAAATAAATATATCCACAAAGTAACATGAAAACGCTGCAAGTGGACAAATAATCAGAATCGAAACCAGAAATACTTTATTAATCCCAGGGGGGAAATGTGTTTGCTACAGTTGCCTATAACACCAAAAATCAGCAGGAAGTACAGATAAGTTCACAATATAAAATAAAAAAAATAGAAATAACAATATAATAAACAAAAGTACCAAGTGAAAGCAATAATAAGTAATAATCTATGTTCAAGCGCAGGTAATTCAGAATATAAACATTTACAAATATGAATATACACTGATGGATTAACAGCGTAGATATTGCACAGTTCATGTATAGATTGCACGTTTGATGTATAAATATTGTCCAGTTTTCAACAGATTGCACAGTTTTAGTAAAATACAGATCATCACAACTGTCTGACAGTATACAGAAAGAATCCATCCCTAAATAAAGAGTGGGACACTTCCTTTGAAGCCAAAACTTTAATATCTGTTGTTTATTTTATTTTTTTCTTTCTTTCATCATTAGCTCAGTATTATTATTATTATTATTATTATTCTTGTCTCTACATGAATTTGATGACATCTAGATGTTGATTTGCACTGGGGGGGGATGTGAATGTCAGTACTGTGCTGTTGTAAGACAGTTTAAAGATATATGTTACTGCTGCTGGTACTGTCTTGTCTGCATTGTGTCTATGGTTTGGGGTAAAATGAATTAAAATAAAATAATTGGAGGTAGAGAGTTTAGACAGACTCTTAGGAGCCGCTTTCCTCCAGAAAGACACTGCGAAAGCTGAAATCCAACAAGTGTATCTTTCTTTCATCATTAGCTCAGTATTATTATTATTATTATTATTATTATTATTATTATTATTATTCTTGTCTCTACATGAATTTGATGACATCTAGATGTTGATTTGCACTGGGGGGGATGTGAATGTCAGTACTGTGCTGTTGTAAGACAGTTTAAAGATATATGTTACTGCTGCTGGTACTGTCTTGTCTGCACTGTGTCTATGGTTTGGGGTAAAATGAATTAAAATAAAACAATTGGAGGTAGAGAGTTTAGACAGACTCTTAGGAGCCGCTTTCCTCCAGAAAGACACTGCAAAAGCTGAAATCCAACAAGTGTATTTGTTCAAATCAAAATATCTCATTACACTTAACATCAGCCACACATCTCTGACAAGTCCTGAAAAACATCTCATTTTAAGATCTAAAAACAATTAAAGCCTGATTAAGTGCAGCAAGCAAACATTAGTCTTTAATTGTCTTATGAGGTCGTGACCTTGTTTCAAGAACGTGAACAAACTTTTAACTCATTACCAGCAAGTTCAGACCTTCTTTTTCTGCACTAGATGTCTTAGCAAGTTCAGACCTTCTTTTTCTGCACTAGATGTCTTAGGATAAAACTTGGTCTATTTCAGGTGATTATGACTCATAATGAGTGTAAATTAGATGTGTTTTGACTGGAAATGAGACAAATACACTTGGAGCACAGATTTGAGCTTTAGCAGCGATTAGTGTTCATCTCAAGGCTGCATGCTGAAAACACATACTGGAGCCATTATCTATATATCTATCTGTCTATTTCAAAACGTTTTATACTTAATAGATATTAAGAATTAAACACTTGAGAAGTGAGGGCTCATACCAGAATAATCCTTGAATGTAGCGGTAGATAACTTAATTAAAAAAATTATTTGTTTCATGAAGGAGGATATTTGCAGAGAAAATAAAACGAGAGAGAAATGGACAAACTGTATATGGTGAAAGTACAAAGAGTCCTTTAACTGGAAAGATCAAAATGTCACTTTTTAAACTTCACTTTCACATTGAGTATTTCCCGTCGTGTCTTACTTGGCTCAGCTGGTACCAAAGAGTTGTAGTTCTGTCTCTACTGGTCATGTCATGTTTGATTGGAGCCATTACAAAACGCTACAGGAACAGAGTCATTTTATTTTTTTTGTTCAAACTTTATTTTAGCAGGTTGGTCCCATTGAGATTACAAACTTGTCTTGTCCAAGGAAGACCTGGTCAGGACAGTTAGCTACACCAAAAAAACAAAACGTTACAAACAGAGACACAAAGAGAGACCGAAGTACAATTTATAAAAAAACACTAAAGTTTGGATTGAAAGAGAGAACCATCTATGAGTGAAATCTGGGAGTCTGTTGTTAAAGCAGTTCAACATCCAATAGAATCTGCTTCCAGGTCTTTTTATTTTACATTTCAAAACATTTAAGGACACCAGCTCCTCGAGGTTTCAAGTCATGCTGCAGCAGACTCCAGGACTGAGGGAGCAGAAAACCCAAAATGTCCCAGTATCAGATGAAGTGTTTGGGACAGAGAGCCTAAAGAAAAGTCCTGAGGAGAGTCTCTGTGTCTGAATGCAAAAAGCAGCCCAATTCACACATACTCCGTGCACGCCGCGGTCCGTCAGCGCCTCGCACTACGTTGTACTTAGCTTCCACTCGAGTCAGTCATCGTGTTCACACGGGGCGCGCTGCGGTCCGTCTCCGGTGCGAGCCACCGACGGCACTGCGCTCTGCTCCGTTTCAAATACGCAGCGAGTCTATTTTCACCGGAGTGCGCTGCAGGCACGCGTCAAGCCGGACAGAATATGACAGGAAGTCAGACATCGCACAGAGCATCTGGTCAATTTCAAAATAAAACACAATATACCGACTCGCGCTCGTATTTTTCATCACTTTATCAACATGACGTCAAAACAGGAACCGAATTAAAAACAATGCATCCTCAGAAAGACAAAGCAACATGTTGTTTGCATGTTTTTCTCTTGATTCCCGCGGGATCTTGTAGTTCTCCTGTGATGTGTCATGGGTGCACTCCACTTAAAAATAAAATAAATACCACAATAATGATGATTCACCATGATTTAACCCTTTGAGTGATGAGTAAGGCGTGTCATGACTATTCATGGACATAATGTTCACTAAACTTTTGTGTCTATCTTGCCATAATATCATTTTGTAATGTCCAATAATTCACCCGTACTGAAAGTGATTTTATTTTATAACGGGCCCCGGAGTCATTTTGTATGTCAAAGTGGAGCGCTGCAGTTTTACGTTTGGCAAAGGCTGCTTTAGCAGATGGATGAAGCCACATTGCTACAACTAGCATGTATGAACTGAAGGGGCTGGAGATGAGAAAGCATCGGCGAGGAGAGAGAGAGAGAGGAAAGAAAGAAGGCAGCATATGCTAATGAAAGCATGTGCAGGGAGTGGCGAGGGCCTCGGCAGTCGCTACCCTGAGAGCACACAGCGGATCTGTGGAAAAGGTCATTGGAGCGGATTGGGGACGAGGGGGCCTCCCAGGCTGGATAGACTCTCTCTCTTGTTTTTTTCCTCTGTCCGTATGGCTCTCTCTTTTCTTCCTCTCTCGTCTGCTCGGGTCTGCTTCAGTGCGGAGGTGGTGGTGAGCTGATAATCGAGGCGGTAAAGCCGTCTCATTCCCTCGTCTCAGTCTCTAATGAAGTCCCCACTATTAAAGCTCTATAATTCTTCTATTGCACAGCGCACACCCCTCCTCACTTCCCCCCCCTCTCTCTCTCTCTCTCTCTCTGCCTTTCTCTCTGTCAATGCACCATCCTATCCCACCAACCTTACCCCCCACCATCCCACCAATCATAATTGAATAACTCTGAGTAAATGAGGAGAAAGTCTCCTGAATGGGAGCAGAACGGTCACACTCGGCCCTCGGTGCATCAATCAGGACGTCTGATTGAAAAGACAGAGAGAGAGAGAGGGTAGGTGGTTAGTATGGCGGCTACATGTCACCTTGCCGATAACTCCCAGAGTCTTTTCAGATGCAAATGAGAGCAAAGACAATGAGGTTTTTTTTTAATAGAAAATGAGAAGGAAGAGGATGTGAGAGATAGCTCTGGAGTCATATGCCAGAGCTGCTCAGATGTTTTATGACTTACAGCTTCTTTTGTTTTTTGTACCAGAACAGAAAATAAGGTGAAAATGTCAGTCAGTACATGTGTGAAACAGGACTGTCGGTTCAAACAGCGGACGTCTGAAACACAGAGAATCACCTGCGTCCAGCGCCCTCACACACACAAAAGCAGCTAATGCAATAACGGCCGCAGGCGACTGTTAAATAATGTTTAATATCAGGCAGGCCGCAGATGAAATATTGATGTGTTGCTGCACAGCAGGAGAGTGAGTGAGTGAGTGAGTGAGTTAGAGATCGACTCCTGTCAGCCTGCTTCTAACCTCCTTATTTAACCGTCTGCAGGTACCAGAAGCTGTGGAAGAGCTACGTCAAACTACGCCACCTGCTGGCCAACAGCCCCAAGGTCAAGCAGCTTGACAAGCAGAAGCTGACGCAAAGAGAGGTGGGCTGGAAGAAAAACAAACACACTCTGATTTTTCTCTTTTTTTGTTTTGTTATTACTGTCACACTCATGTTTCAACAATGCCAGGTGGCCTGTGTTTGTAATGTGGATTCGGTGCCATGTGCTTTCAGTTTAAATATTTAAAAACTTCGCTCGGTGCTGATTCGAAAGGTTACGCTGAGCACTCGCACGCTCCTCACAATTGAAGGATAAACAGCTAAGAATTTTCCCAAAAACAAAACTATTACCTTCACCGTGATTCCTGCTGTGCAAAGTGATTCAGATGCTGCTTATCTGGAACTCCTGCCTTGAAGTAACAGGGTTGCTTTTTCACTTAACAAAAGGGAGCCAATATTTACAAAAAGCAGCATTATCTCTGCTTTGGTTTTTGTTGTTGTTGTTAAGAAAACACAGCCGGGCTTTCACACCTTTTTAATGATTTACCACAACAGAGTCGTATTTTAAGACTGAATCCAGAGGCTTACTAAGAAAATATTCATTTGCACATAAGCTCCATGTTCTTAAGACTAGATGTGTGTTTTTTTTTAAATATTTAAAAATGTGTAGTTAAAGCTCCTGTGAGGAGTTTTAAACCGGTTATGAAACAGACTGAATTTCATACTGATGCCTCTTTTTGAACAAGACAATCAACTTTTTCAATTTCAATCATTTTTTTATTGTTCATGTTTGTTCATTGTTCAACATTGTCACTTACAATGAAGGAAAAACAAGATGTTGTGGTTGTAACAACAGCCCACAAATATACAGGAGAGGACAATCATATACAGTATATCATACAGATAATTCCTTATACAGTACATTTCAAAAGGGATGAAAACAGCAGACAAAAGGGGCAAACAAAGATTGAATCATCTCTCTCCCCTGGATTAACACAACACAAAGTATATATCTCCTATAGAGGTATTTGTAATGTCAATGCTGCTGCTGCTGGGGGGGGGTAGTAAAGTCAACACAAATGAAAAGTTCCTCACAGCAGCTTTAAACATATGGTAATAGACTTTTTTTTTTTTTTTTTAAATTTAAGTTGATTCAAAATTTTTCAAACCAGGACCCCATTTTCTTAAATTGCTAGTTGATGCAAAAAAAAAACTTTTTTTCTTTTAAAGCTAAAACTCAGATTTTAACATTTATCCTTGGACTGTTACCGTTCCTTGGCTACTTAACATTTACTGAACAGCTGACACTTATTTAAATTGATTTCATTTAATTCTCTAACAGTTCAGGCACTAAACTCCAACATGTTTCTACATTTTTGGTCCCAGAATATAATTGTAATAAGCGTATCTCCCGCTGTCTTTCTTTCAGTTATACTTCACTCTTATTTTGTTGTGCTAAGAATAGAAAGTGTCTTTTATTAACTAAATGACAGAGACGGACTATTCTAATATGAAAACTTTTTTACAGTGATGACCTCATGTCTAAATCAGCTTCACAAAGCAATAAAACACTGTAAGGCTGATTGAGACATGGTGTCATCACAAAGTCAGGGGCGGCAGAATTGTGCAACTCTGGTTGACTGTGTGAATATTCTTCAAAAAGCATCCTTCTGCTCACCTTTGCATGGTCATGTCAATGCACAGTTCACTACGAAAAAGATCTTTTGTGATTTTAAAATGTCACCTTGTTAGCGTTGATGTGTAATCTGTAACTTTTTACCTCTAAAATTGCCATCGGCCTCGATAGAGCTGCGTTTAGTAATGCATGATTTAGATGAATTTACAGCTCAGAATAAAAACGGCCGTAACAGCTCTCCTGAGTTTTGCGTGAAGGTCAAACAAACCTCTTGGGACGCAGACTGGAAAAGGTTTGGGTTCGGTGAAGTAATGACCGTGTAGCCACAGGGAATCAAAGGGTACAGGTGCTCTGTGTGTGTGTGTGTGTGTGTGTGTGTGTGTGTGTGTGTGTGTGTGTGTGTGTGTGTGTGTATGGCCTCAAGTAGCTTTATCCACCATATATCTCCTGTCGGGGACCGCCGTGAAGTTTTCTAAAGTAGATACAGCTCCTGCACTTTCTTTGAGGTGGTGCCGCAGATCCTCTTCCTTTGCTGTGTTTGATACACTCTGAACCAATAATGAGCAAGACAACTCGGAGCTCAATTAGCTTGTTTCCCAGGTAGCTCGGTGAAGCTGTCCCGCTAACAGGCCCTGACAATCCCACTGTCAACCTGCAGCCGGAGCAATTAGTGAAGCCAAACACATGCACACTCACACACTGTGGGTCCATCAGGCTTCCAGCTCGAGCATTAGCCATGTCAGTGTCTCTCCTCTGCAGTGGCAGCGTGGCATCACTGCTCATTTAATGCCCGAGGGAACACACTTCCAGCTTTTCTGTGTAAATGGTCTTTTCAGTGGAAGACTTAAGCGTCTGCAGCTCTGATGGGGTATCTTCTCTACCATTAAGATTCACCCTGTCAGGTGGTGTTCACAGCAACACCGCGCTTCTCCTGCAGGAATGTTTAGTTACCTCAGTGTGCTCCGTGTGCAGCCTGTACGTCGGGTTCCAGGCAGACCAAAGGTGAGTGCCGCCCGAGGCTGAAAAGTTGCCTTCACACACAGAGGCGTTTGATTCTGCACCCCCAAATTCCAGATCTCATGCACAGAGAGAATGCGTGTGTGTGGGTGTAGATGGTGTGGCACTTGAGCATCATGCAGGCTGTCACTGTGTTGCTGCCCAGATGGACTTTTGTGTGATTCCCCTCATCCAAAAGCTTGACTTTGCCTCAAACATACAGACTGATGTCATCTTCAGAAAATGCTAGATTGTCTGATAGTTTTGGGATAATTTTGCTTTTCTTTTTGAAATGTGTATTTAAGAAGTGGCACTTTTAGACCGCCTTACAAGCACCTTTTTTTTTCCTGAAGGAGATTTTGTTCTACAACGGCAACAAAAATCCAAAATCAAATCTAAATTTTCAGGCATTGGCAGAATCTTTGTTTGATTCTACCTTCTTAGTGAGATTTTTAAATAAAACATGAAGACCAGGAACAGGCCATTCATTAAATCCTCAAAGTCTCAAGAAATTGTAAATGGACTTGAGCTTGTTTTGCGCTTTTCTAGTCTTTTGACTACTCAAAGCTCTTTTACACCGCAGGTCCACCTCCCCATTCACACACTGATGGCAGAGGCTGCTATGCAAAGTGTCCACCAGTATTAACTAATCAATTCTTACACATTCAACTTGAGGTTAGGTGTCTTGCCCTGGGGATCGAATCCCGACATTCCGGTTCAGAGAGGACCGACTCTTCCTCTGAGCCACAGCCACCTGTACTCCTGTATAAATCACAGTTAACCACTTATAATGAAAACTGCTAATGATTCTTAATCTGTATAACATATTTCCTTCTTAATACTGATATCAATTATGCAACTAATATAAATCTATGTTCACTTATGAGCATATATATGCACCAATAATAAGTAATGAAATCCCTAATATGCTGCACTTTTAATTTATCGTCCTACTATTGAATAATCAGCTTTTTTTTTCTCTACAAAAGTGAAACACAGAGAAGAAGAAAAAAAAATTACTTCTTCATTTGTTAAAAAAAATATTCGCGATAATAATGAAGTAATTATACAGAAGTGTGCTACTTTATTATGTCATATCTCTCATTTGAATAAGTATTCAGCCCCGAGTCTCTGCCTTGGCAGTGAATTCAGCTCTGCGTCGTCTCTATCAGCTCAGCATATGTGGATTTGGGGATTTGCTCTGATGCTTCCTCGCAGATTTGGCCGAGCTCAGTGGAGCTGTGTGAGGAGCATCTTTTAAAAAGCTATCTTAAACTCCTTTCCCGCAGATTTTTTCTCCGTTGGTTTCTAGTCTGGGCTTCAGCCGGGCCACACAAGAACTTAACATCCTGTTCCTCAGCATATTTCAGTGCTGACTGCAGTGTGTGTTCATGAGGATGATTGTCCTACGGCAACATCGATGAGCCCAATCTGAAGACTTTTCATTGATTTGATGCGGTCTGTGTTTTTATGTATTCCTAATTTAACCTCACATCCCTGTATGTCCAGAACATCTTATATTAAGAGCATGCAACCTCAATGAGGTCAGCTAGGACAAAAAAAAAAAAGTGTCGTCCAAGGGGAGAAGTTGTCAAAGTTGCTTAAAAAAGTTAATAATTATCCTCTGGATAGCAGAAATATCTACAAAAACATTTATGACAATCTGTTATCACTTTTAAGAGGCTTCCATCTTGAACACCTACTACTAAGGACTCACAATAACACCGGCTCGTCATCAGTATTTTTTCAGTTAAAGCTCAAAAAAAGGAAAATGAGCATTGGCCCATAATGAGCATCTGAAGTTTTGACAGGCCAGTGGCATGATGCTTTAATTAAGCGCTTGAATGTAAGCCCTTTACTGCACACTACAAAGCAATTAATGGTATGCACCATGAACATAATAACTAGAAAGACATGTGGTGTTTTGTTTGTGTAAACTCAGTTAAATTAGCTTTTTAGCCAAATGAAGATTTTGTCTGCAATATGTGAATACCACTCCAACATGGACCTTTAATAATCATCTGAAAACATCTGAATGAACAGAGTAGAATAGAGTGACTTTACCCACTCTACAGTTTAATTTACTGTGCTTCAGCCCCATGCACATGTCCATCCATAATGGACATAACAAGTTATAGAAAGAGGAAGATGGAAAAGTATTAAGCAATAAAATCCAGTGCATTCACTGCAGTCTTGGGTGTTTTAGGACTTTTGGATATTATTGCACAAATGAGTTTGAAAAACATCAGCAAGCATCCAATACAGAGAATACAAACCAAAGCATGCAGCTGCTTTAATCTTCCAGCTCTGCATCTCTCAGACTTCTGCAGACAATGATACGAGGATAAGCCGAAGTCACCTAATTTAAACCGCAAAAAAAAAACCCAAAAAAGTAAGTAAGGGAGCGAAAACACGGCCACTGATGTGCTCTTGCATTCTGCAAACATTTCAGAATTTCAGACGCCGTCTTTTGGTGTTTGACCTTCGCCTGATCCCCACAAACAACACAAACACTCCTCTCAGGCGAAGGACGTGATGATAAAAGTCTAATGTGTCGTGACTTGTCTGTTTGACCGGCACAAAGTTAGTCTCCCCCCGATCCTTTTTAATTATTTAGTTTTCGTACTTGTGTCCACTCCCTGACCCTGCAGAGAGCCCGGCATGAATGAAGTATTTACATATCATTCGCACTTTGCTGTGATTACTGCTTTCCATATACAGTGGCTTGGCTGGCCATGGAAACATTAGCTGTGTGTTTGTGAGTGAGTGTGTGTGTGAGTGAGTGAGTGTGTGTGTGTTTGTGCATGCGTTGCGCGTGGGCGAGCGTGTTCACTTTGATGCGCAGTTCAAAGTAGGATGGCATTATTTATTCATGCCTTTGTTGTTCTTATTTCCTCTGCGAGTCAAAAAATTCCTGGCGTTCCATTTTAGGGCAGATCACGGCGCAGCTCAGACGCAGTCGATAGCGTCTCCGTTGAATGAAACACATTTTCGGCGCTCACACACATTTAGGAGGGTGCAGTCTGTCAATACATCTCCCATCTTGGTTGTTATTTGTAGGACTCTCTTGTCTCAAACTCCCCCCCCACACCACCCACCTCTCTTTCTCTCCTGACTGAAACTCCACTTATGTGCTGTAGCTGACATGATGCTGTGTGTGTGTGTGTGTGTGTGTGTCTATAATGATTCCTGCTGCTTGCTGATGGAGAAACCTCCAGGCTCTTGCACGGTGGTCCTAATGGGCAGGCAGGTGTCTCAGCTCCTGCTTTCTGGGGACTGAAGACCACAGTATCATCCCTCCTACACCCAGCACCAGCAGCTCCACCACTGCCCACAGCCACGCAGAACCCATAGCGGGGCCCTCAATTAGCCGGCACCAGCCGAGCTGTCACTTCCCCTGTTGCTCCCGTCCACTGCTGTGCCTGTGCGCGCGTCATACCATGGAGGTTTCATTTTATTGCATGTGCCAGACTATGTGTTGTAGGGAGATAGAGGAGGAGGGGAAGAGGAGGGGTATGGGTGAGGATGGGAGCTGTCCCTGATGGCTGTGCTCCGGCGGATCAATAATTGACTGGCTGGTTGTTTGTGCAGGAAGCTCTTCAGAAGATCCGTCAGAAGAACACCATGCGCCGCGAGGTGACAGTGGAGCTGAGCAGTCAGGGCTTCTGGAAGACCGGCATCCGCTCCGACGTCTGTCAGGTAACAAAACCCCCGACAACTGTACGCACGAGCACCCAACTTGACATGTACACGTATGCTGCAGTACATAAGAATGAATCTTAACACGTGAACCCAAGCATAACAATCATGCACACAGATCCTGGACTCAGTCACACAAAGGCACCCACTGTTTGACGTTTGCATAACATTTACACAATAGTAATAACTTTATTTTTAAAGCACTTTAAAGGGGTTTAAAGTGCTTTGACACACAAGCCGAACAAAAGAGTTACCAAACAACATGAACAGCAAACGAGTGCAAAGACCAGAGAGAACCAAAACCAACAAAAATACCCCCAAACATCATGAGAAACCAAGAAACACTCAACACACAACAACATGAAATGAAACAGAAAAGACCAAAGATGTCTGAGGAAGTGAGACCTTAAGAGATAGGAACAATACATAGAGATAAGATTTTATTTTATTATGTTTTTATTCCAATGTTTTATTCTGATGATTTATTATTTTATTTTTAATCTCTGTAGCACTTTGTATGGAAGCCCATTTCCACCAGTTAAAAAAATAAAAATGAAAACTGAAATTATGAGATAATAAAGTCAGAATAATGAATAAATTATGAGAGGGCATTATGAGATAAAAAGTCAAAATTATGAGTCATTATTGTGACTTTATTATCTCATCATTTTAAGATTAAAAATCTCAACAAAGCCAATTTTCAATTTTTATTTTTTTTAACTGGTGGAAATGGGCTTCCATAACTTTGAGATTTTTTCCAAAAATATCAAGTGCATTACAAATACAATTGTTTATTATTATTATTATTAAAGAGCAAATAGAAAGAACGGTTAAAAAAAGAGGTCAGAAAAAATAAAAACAAAGATAAAGCAATAAAAGAGAGAGAAAGGCATTACACAGTGATGAAAGAAAAATGATCAATTATAGGAAATAAATACAGTTATGAGGGATAAAAGCATTAATAAAGAGATTTAAACATTTTAAAAGAAGAGAGATAAAAGTGACATAAATAAATGGAAATCAAACTCCCCATGCTGGTGAATTAGTTGTTAGTGCCCCGTGTTCAGAGGCTCTAGACTTCCAAGCGGGCGGCCCGGGTTCGAAACCAACCTGGATGTTATTCCCCTCTCTCTCTCTCTCTCTCTCTCTCTCTCTCTCTCTCCCTCTCAGTGATTTCTGACTCTACCCACCGTCCTCTCTCTAACTAAAGGCATAAAAAAAAAAATCTGAAACATAAACTTTCCATGTTTGTAATTGGTTTTTAAATGAAAGAGAATAAAACGATGAAACAGACTAAAGGGAGGCTGCTGTTATTACAGTTAGAGCCTCAACATGGTTGAAATCCTTTATAATTAAAGTAATAAATATCTCTTTTATGAAAAATAGTTTTAATGTTTAAAAGGGAAAATTAGGAAGAGTGTCATTTTTGGTTTTTGAATATATTGAATGAAGTTAGAATAACAAATGACAAAAAGAACAAATCCTTAAATGAGGCTGAAAACGTCAGCGTTTAGCGTTTGTGTTGATTAATGACTTAAAAAAATGAATTTTATAGACTGAGAGTTCAAACACCTGCTTGCCTGTAAACACCACTCTGTACTTCTACTGTTAGAATCAGACCTAATCCAGCCTCAGTGTCTTTAGGGTCCAAACAGCAGCCAGACTATGAACAGCCCTAAAAGTTATCAATCAAATATTAAAATCAAATTTTAAACCTGCCTGAGGCTAATTCAGGAGAGCTGAATGTTTAACTTGTATGGTCATATTTAATAGAGAATTTTACCTTATTACATTTTCTGTCTAGAAGAGACTTTTAAAAGACTTTTAAAAGAGTTAAAAATATTTGTGTTTCAGTTTGTGTGACACAACTGATGTGTTGGACCAAAACTAGCTTTTCACAGACTTAAAGGTTACATATTATGCAGTCCGTCCTTTACCTGCTCCACTTTTCAGAAAATGTGAGCTCAAACAGGCCGATTGGCGATTTTCCCGTTGTGACATCACAAAGGGCAGTAACCCCTCCCCCAGGCAGATGACACTCCCACAGCTAGGTGTTTGTTCTGCCCTCTGAGTCTACCTTCTCAGTAAACACAAGGGCATTCCCTTCCAGAGAGGGGGAGTGGTCAGACACAGCTTATTTACATATTTAAAGGTACAGACACAGAAACAGCCTGTTCTGAGCAGGGCTGAAATAGAGGGGTTTATAGACATGATCAAATACAGGATCAGAGTGGATTTAGTACAAGGAAACTTCACACACATGTTTTGAGGAGCTCAGAGACTTATTGAAACTGGTTGAAGAGGAGGAGAATATGTGACCTTTAAATTCTCACAATAACACAAACAAAGTATCCAGACGAGGCAGCAGTAGAGCAGACATCCATGTTTCCTTCGTAACTGTTGTTTTTCAATGGATTCTGCTGTCTTTTATAAAAACTATGTTAGGCCAATATCACCTTTGGTTGAAGATGGTTGAAGGCTTCTCAGGAGAGGAGTCTTCAAGATCTTCAAACAAGTCAACTTAACTTTGGATCAAGCTTTGAATTTAAGAGCACTTACTTGGTCTATCACGGCTCATTTCCAATACACCTAGAATAACAAAAACAACACTAACAACCTTTTGTTGTGTCCAAAACAAAAACCTTCAGGGGTCTTCCTTTGATCAGGCATGTTGCCCTGCAGGGGTAACACCGCAGACATTACAGGTGGTTTCATGGCTGCCAGTTAAAAAGCAATCTACTACGAATCCATTATTCTTCATACAAAAAATCTGAACACAACTTCTGTAGAATGATGACCCAACTTCCAAGAAATAGTTCCCCCAATTTGTAACAACGGGTTCTTTTCTTTTTTGTTAAATTCTCACATACATGCACATACACATACATGCAGCTGTACTTTCCACTTAGATGGACACGGATCAGTGCTCATAGCGCGAGTCACACATCTAGAAAGTTTCCTTCTGATCTTTCCACACGTTGCGTCACTTCTCCGTTCGAGTGTCAAAATCAGTGTCGGGGAAGTGGACTCCCGCAGAGCTTCAGCGGCCGTACCCTTCATTAAGTTAGGTCTCAGACTGGGGGTTCTATATCTATACAGTAAGAACACAATGTACTTTCATCTCCCATGATGCACTTTTTTGTGTCTTGATTTCACTAAATGGGACATTAATGCAGTTTACAGTTCCTTGCATGCATACATTTCAGCCTGTGCAGCCCTAATGACACTTGAATCATAACCTTGAATGTGTAAGTGCCATGCTCTGCACACCAAAGCGTGGAGATCTGTTCTTGGATTTGTCAGCGCGATGAAAATGGAGTAGCATGCTTGATTTTAATATTCTATTATTTACTGTCTGATCTTGCATTTTCTGCCTGTTAAAAAAAAAAAAAAAATTGCCATCAACATTGCGAGTCTTTTTCCTCCGCAACACATCCCCCTCTCTCCCTGCTTGCAGCCTGCAGCTGATGCTCACATTTGGAGCAGGAATGACAGAAAAGTTTCTTGCCTCGCAGACCAGACCTCTCTTACAGCAAGGTCTAGCAAAGAAGGATCCGATCCATAATTGCCTCCCAATTATATTTGCTTCAAGCTATACTGCTACGACTAATTGGTTCATGAATAATTTCAGTTGGAACTGCGGCGGTACACTCTGCACAACGTGTGACACAGACAAGTGATAACAGCAAAACTGACCCATAGCTTCTTGATTCGAAAAAAAAAAGAAAGCCGGCGCTGTATTCAGAACAAAATCAACACCCTCATTACTGACATTGCTCGGCTACACCAAGGTTGTTTCACTTGAAAGGCTCTGTCAAGGACCAGGCTACACATTGGAGGCAGGAAGTGAATTTATTAACCCATCAATGTTTTTGTTTTTTTTAAATTTAATCCACACGTTTTTCTTTTTTTTGATTAAGTGCTCTTACTTTTTCTTCCTGCCACCGTCTTGTACCTGATTAAATCCCTGTGAAGGCTATCAGTCGGTCCAAAACAGGTCAAGGAAAAGAAGAAAGGCGTGGGATGCTCTTTATTTACCGCAAATGTATCTGTGCATCATCATGTGCCTTATAGATTCAGTACTCCTACATATATCGTAACCTAGAGAGAGCTTTGGTTGTTGCATAAATGCCCTGGAAACCCGAGTCCACAAATGCCTTCATGCTCTTTGATTAAGTGATTGAAAATAATAGTAAGCGTTTGAAAAATAAGAATTAAGTTCCTCTAAACTTTCCTGATATTTGGGTTTTATATTTGATATTTGATGTTTCCTTCTCCTTTCTTCTGCAAAACTATCATGAGAATAATCTCACATAGTGCAACCGGTTCTCCAGTAGGGGATCTAGTTCTAGAGGACTGTGGGCGGGACTTTAAATATGTTAATTTTAAAAATATGAGTCATGCATGTTTCCTCAAATAATTAGACTGATAAGTTGGATAAAAAATGTAAGTGTATGTTTTATAAACCACATTTTAGATTTACAGTCATTACTTCAGTGCTGTAAACTGATGCAACTGCAGAAAGGTTTTTTTGCTGCCAGTTTGGATACTAGAATATAGCAACATCACAGTTTAATAAACAGAGATCAGAAAAAAAGGCCGACAAATGAGCTCATAAAACATGGCACAGTATCTGAGAGGAAAATATCTGTATATTCATCCCTGTTTAAAGCCTTTCCCCATGAAAATCAAAATCCAGATCAATTTATAAAGTGCATTTCTTGACAGTGTTTGTTGCTTGTTAATGACTCAGTGATTATAGGTGTCGTTTTAGCAACACAAATGTCCTTAGTGTTGGTCAGCGGGTACCTGGGTGAAAAATGAGTTTGAAGAGTTTGACGCCAGACTGCGGACATAAAGTTTCAGAATGACTTTTAAAGGTAGTGTGAGCACAGTTTAAAATCCATGCTTGCAATATTTCAACCAGGAGGGAAAAAGAAAATTCTGGCCGCCCGTCCACTTTGGACAGTCTCCAAACTGCCCAAACGTCAACCCTGACAGCAAATTAGAAATTTCCCACCTTTTAATTACCAGAGTATCAACTCTAACAAGCCTTTTCTACACACACACTCACTCAGTCACTCCGGCACTCATCAGAGCAGGTCAGGAGCTGTAGACACGACCAGGGCCCCGGCTTTGTTAATTGGCTGCTTAACAAGGCCTGGGGAGGGTGTCACCGCGGCCCCCACGATGGCCCCAGGGCTACGTGGCAGCACCGTTTGTAGCCGCCGGGCCTCGCACTCACCCCCCCCCTTCCCCACTAGCACTAATTAAAACATGCATGGCTCCCTGCTCTCTCATGTGGTGGCACGGGGTTAATGTGTGTACACTAGTTTCTGAGCCTCTCTCTCTCGACGACCGGCCGACTTGATAAGCCTCCACTAATGATTCTGTAGATTGGCTCTCTGACTGACGGACTCGTTTGCTGACCGGGCAACTGTTTTCTCTTGCACTCTCGCAGTCAGTGTCACACTCCCTCTCTGATATGCGCACTCACACGTCATCCACCACCTCCTCCTCCTCCTCTCGCTCACTTTGTTGCTCTCAAACTTCTCCTTTTTAACACACGAGGGTCAGAATGGGACTGACAGTGTTTGTCCGAATGTGAGTGTGTCAACATGTCGAAATGGGCTTCGATTGGGCTGTCCGGTCCAGATGTGAATCGCCCTCCTCTCTCTGTCATTCTCCCCCTCACAGCGCCAGCGATTGGGTTTTTGATTATTTCATCTCTCTGTTGCGGAGCACCACTTAATAAATAATGACTGGCTGATTGATTTCTCCCTCCCCTGTTCGTTCTATCAACCCCTCTCCTTTTCTCTCCCACAATCTCTTCATCACACTTTCTCTCTAAAAAAAAAAAAACACACACACACACTCCCATCTCTCTTCTTCCACATAAGGCACGTTTCTTATTTTCTATCTTTTCCCATTTTCCCACCCTTTGATATTTTCTCTCTGTATGTTGTTCACATTTTTCCCTTTTTTTGACAATTCTCTCCGTCCCTCCACAGCACGCCATGATGCTGCCTGTCCTCACGCACCATATCCGGTACCACCAGTGTCTGATGCACCTGGACGACCTCATTGGCTATGTCTTCAAGGAGCGCTGCCTCCTTCAGGTAAGACACAGTCATGACATTTTGCTTACTTACAAAAGTGAACCGAACTTTGCAACACAATTTGTTTTTGCAAATGTAATTTTGTGGATTCTTTGAGATGCTCTGTATCCTTATAATTTGCACAACCTCGACTTGGAGGAAATTTAAGTCAACAGAGGAAATTATTTGAATAACATGGGGGTTTAAAATGTATTTTAATTTAGAAAGATCTGACACTTGTTTCACCATTTTGACCCATTTACCAAAAATGTGCTGCTCCCTCTGCATGGAGCTTTCTCCAGAATGACTTGAAACTGAAAGCGAAATAAGATATTTCTTGAAAAAAACTTGACACCATTGGACAGTGCCTGACATTTGAAATTGTGATCTGTGATCTCAACTCCTGAACTTTATCTGAGAACCAATTTGCACCATTTTAATAATATTAACATATTGTTTGTGTACTGTTTGTACATGTTGTCATGTTTATTATGACGTGTGCTGCAGCTGCCATCTTGGCCAGGTCAGAGATCTTGATGTCAATGGATTAATCACTTAGTTAAATAAAGGCATACATATGATGTAAGATTAATAAGCTATGTGGTAGCTGCTATGTTTTTACTTGATTAAATTATTATTATTTTTTAAACTTCTCTTTATTGGGTTTTTTTCTTTTTTCAAATACAGATAAAAAATAAATCTGAGACATGTTTATTCATACATCAAACCAACACAAAAAACAAAATGATAATAAATAAACAAAAAGATAAGATATAAAAAACATAAGTACAAACACAACAAATATCATACCAAAATAATAAGATAAACAAAAAAAAGAGATTTAAATAGTAATAATAATACAACTTGGAGGATGTCAAGTGTACTTGATTAAAGTTTAGACGCAAAGTTGAAATAATGATCTCCAGTGGTTAAAATGTGATCTAACATCAAATGTTGATGTTGATAAAGTCATAAAAAAAAAAACGTATGAGGTAGAAAAACAGACTTGAAAAACAGAAGTCCTATCTCTGAGCAGCCAAGAAAACGCTGAAGTCTATAGCCATTAAAAGTTATTATTTTGGATCAGTTTAAATTGGATCGTGTTAAAAATCCCCTCACTCCCTTTGCAAGTCCATTTCCTGAAAGTTACAGGCTGGCATGGTTGATAACGACCAAGAAAGATAAAGGTAGGTAAATCCCTGCGGTTCTATTAGGAGGCCGGTTAGATAGCGCCCGATAAGAAAGTCAACATATTTTTTTCAGGAGGGTTTTTTTTTTTTGTGCACAGAGATCCTGGAAGGCAGCGTTTGCCTCATTATTGTGCCCATTCCACCTCTGCCGGGAGAGTTCAGGTATAGACTCAGGGGCTCAGGAGTCATCTGAGGTAACCCACACGCCGGCCTGAGTCACATCTCTGCAGCGAGCAGCCCGGGTCTGCTGTGAGGCGCAGTGACAGTAGTCAGGACAACAACAACAGCCTCCTCCGTAATGCCTCCCCCCCCCCACTGTCAGGTCTGCAGCCTCAAGCTGTGTGCTCTCAGAGTGAGCCCCGCGGCTGCCTCCAGCAATATTGAAGAGCTGTCATAACCTGATACATTAGAAATCAATGTGTTGTAGCCTATTCATAGTTAAAGAGGGGAAGGATGCATTAAGATGTGCTCAAGGCTCTGTGTGTGTTCGGCCCGCGTGCATGACAGCGCGTTGCTCTTGAGTGTGTGTTTACGTGCGCGGGGGGGGGGGGGTTTGCACATATTGATCCACGATTGGCCTTTTTGTCGTTTGCATAATGTTGTTGTCGTTAGTCATTATTAGCGCTAAAAAGGAGACACTGACCTGCTGCGAGGCCGGCCGTCACCTGACAGGCTGAGGCCCCCTTTCATCGCCCATTTGAGCTTGACATGTGCGTCTCTCAGGGAGAAGTTAATGGATGTGTCTGTCCCTTCATCTTCTCCACAAACAAAAACAAAACAATCAGTTTGATGCTAGCAGCTACACATGCAGGCCTCTGCAGTGTGAGTGGCCTGTCTCTCTGCATCACAATTCTGTCCACTGAGGTGTTAACAGTACGACATTGCTCTATGTGTGTGTGTGTGTTTGGACAAAGTCAGGGTTGTCAGCAGTTCACCACTACTGGGACTGAAAATGACCCAAGTAGGGAGCCATCATTGCCGGCTTACAACACTCTCCTCATCTCCTGCCCACATCAGCGGCAAACGTCCCACAGCACACACTCCCTCTGCCCAAATGGGTTTGGACAGAGCGGCTTCACTAGTGCGACGGTGCTTGTTCAAACAGCCCTGGTTTCAGATCTGCCATCACCTCCCATTTCGCCTCCACACTGATGGGACGATCACGTTTAATGAGTTGAATGATTTCCAGAGGCAGTGCCATCCATTTTTCAAGTGAGGGAATCTGGAACCGCTCTCTGATTGCATTATGAATGAAGTGTGCTTCGATACAAGATGTGTGTGACCTATGAATTCATTTAGCTGCAGCTGTTTGTAATGTATGGGTGTTTAATAAAGACATTTTCAAACCACACTATCACTATTGGAATACCCTAGATCAGGGGCCTGAGGCTTAAACATCTGGATCCAAAAAGTGGTCTCTTTGGCCACAAATACCTGAATTGCTACTTGAATTAGCATTTCAGTGCTGGTGCTGGAGGTGGTGGTAAAACCACACAAAAGTTGCATTTATAAGCGAGACAGAGGGAATGAGTATTTTGAGCATACTGATCATTTGGATCAATGGCTAATGTTTTACAGATGGTTTGACACGTTTCTATCAACGTTTTGATGTTCTGATCACTTTCATAGTCCTTTCGCAGCTCCCGTAAAATCAGAGCTGACGTCCTCTGTGAAGTGGCAGGTGGCACCTGATCAAGCTCAGGCTGAAAGGAAGGAGCATGGAGCTGCCATGATAAAGGGCCTACAATCCTCTCTGGTGGGGAAGTGGGGAATTAAAGCGGTACCAACTTCAGACGGGTGACAAATTAAAGGATAAACTAAAATAAATTTGTTGGTACTGGGCCACATTGTGCTTCCAGTTCCTTGGCGAGGCTTCATACCAGTTACTGAACTGTACTTGATGGGAGGAACCACCATTGGTTTAAATGATGTTCCACCATTTGGTGTTTAGATGATGGTGGACTCTTTAACAGGTAGGTCCAAAGCGTTCCCATAAATATAAAATGGGATGTGATCTGGTCTCCATAGTCTCCTTAAAAGAGGATATAACTGTATCATTGTCGGATAACTTAACCACTTCAGTGCCTTGCTCAAGGGCACCTCAGCAGGGCTCAAGAAGTTAATTGGCACCACTCCAGCTACCAGACCGATTTCCAGATTTGCCAGGTCTTGTTACTTATCTTGATTCTTGCCTGAGTAACATCCAACAGATTTCAAATGGTAATAGTGGTTGTTTCAAAGTTACAAACGTCTCCCATGATCCCTTGCTGCATCGTAAAGGCATCAAATTATCTTTTTTAATTACTGTACTGATTAGAAGACCCATAGTGACATACGTTTTTTTTTTTTTGGTTTTCAAGAATAATTTCTTGAGACGAAACATTACTTGGGCGGTTATTCCTAGTTTGGGAAGATTAAAACAGTAACTCAGAACAGGAGTTTTTGTTCTTGCTGTGAAGGCTAATGAGCTGTACTCCCATTAAAGGAAACCAGAATTTATATTTCCTTTTTTCATATTTTCCTTTAGAAGAGATGAAAGCGGTTCATCTGGGAAACCAAGAGGGGTTGGGTGGGTCTGTACAGAATTAGTGCTTGTTTCCAGCTCATTCTCTGTAATGTTTTAATGAAAGCATATCTGTGAATCAAAAAATCACAAGAAGACCGCATGTTGTAAATGTGTAATCACTATACTCAGACTCAAATGATGTTCTCGCTGCTTCTCTGACTCAGTGCAGCAGCATACCTGATATTGCAGTACAGAATGGCAATGTGATCCTGGCATGAGGCAACTGAACAAAAAAGCCAGCCTGAGAGCAGGAGCCCTGCACTCTGCACTTCCCCCCGCCTGGATCCAGCGGAGCCACGGCCCTTTGAAGCTCCTCTTCTGAGAGCCTCCCTGTTAAACATTTAACATTTAAAACTTGGTGGAGGGTGGGGGCTGGAGAGACATGTGTTCATGGTCGCCACATGCCTCTGCATCCCCGCGTCCGTCGGACCCGCATAATCCTACCCCACCTCCTGTTGCTTCATCCCCATACTTCACTTTTGACCCATGCTGACAGAATGAAAGGCATCACAGAGCATCTCAATAATTTAACTGTACAAGTCCTCGGCCCCGCTGCTGATATGGCATGCTTTTGTTTGTGTGCTCTGACGAACGCTGCCGTGACTCTGTGTACTGAGTAATGAGGGTATTTTGTATTTATTTTTTCTTATTCATGGTGATGTTTTCATTGCCCTGCTATTGAGGTCAGCACCTGTTTCAATCGTGGCTGCTCTGAATACCATTTTTAAGTCTTAAAAATATTAGCTTGTGCTTCTGAACAAAATATTTGAACATTTGTTTGCACAGAACAAATACGGTGAAATCTGGAATATAAGTCACACCGGTATATAGGACAGTCAGTTGGCGTCTTTCAGAGTGGAAGGAAGTCTAAACTATCCTAATGGGAGACAGCTTCCATTGCTTTCTGCAAAGTTCACAATGTGCATCTGTGTGTAGTTTGTAATACAGCTAACCACTAGAGGTGGGGAAAAGTTAAATCGCAATTTCTTGTATCGTTACTCAAGTATCATGATAATATCGTATTGTGGGGCCTCTGGTGATTCCCTCCCCCCCATTAACCACCAGGACGGTAGTTCAGCTCTCAGCCTTCAGTAAAGTTGCTGACCAACCAATTAGCCGGGATATGCACGACTGACATCCACTGGTCATTTGTAGTCTTGAATTTTAGAATCTTTTCAAACAAAACCAGCACAAAATGAGGTTTATTTACTTCACAGTATACCACAGTTTACTTTAGATGCAGGATTATGACCTAATAAGGGAGACAAGCTGTTAAAAAGTGGTGCTGGCAGCTTGGTCCATGCCGCTATATACCCCAGCATGCTCTCCACAGATAATTGGTGGCTTGCAATATTCAATGAATTGGGCCTGATTGAACTTTCAATCAGGCGAGGTTTTGTGTCGCGGGTGTTGGTGGCAGCTTTGACAGCACGTCTCTGCATTTTGTACTGGTATTATATATGTATTTTTATGGGAAAAGTAGGTTTTAAAGTGTCTTATATAGTTAATTTTATACAATATAAATGCTATATACCAAGCAACATTGCAAGATGTGCACGTCATATATCGTGCTGCTGATGAAGACCCAAAGGTTGAAACTTATTGTATCTTCAACCACAGTCAAACCACAGCTGATCTCGATTCAACCTTGACCCAAGGGGTTAATAGAAGTCTGAATGTACACACTTATAAAGAAGCTGTTGCTTTATAGTCCAATGTCGGACTGTATTATACTTCCGACTGTTACGGAATCATATTCTCCCATTCTTCATTTGATTTGGACGTATGGTGGGAAGCATCTCTCTGACCCTGTGTTGGGATCACTGCCCTGCCCTTGCTGTGTTTACCTCCTATTATTCACAGTTATAAAGAGCAGTGATTGAGGAACAGGATGTTTGCTGTTAGATGACCCTGAAGGATGTGTAGAACTGAAAAGGTTACACAGATTACTGAGACTGTGTTCAGCTCAAGTCGTCCTGTCCTTCCTGTCATCAATTCCAGGAACTTGTTGGAGATAACACAAACAGGCCCAATCGACCAATCACAGTGCAGCTAACAACAACCATACAAACGCAAACTCAGACTGCATCCAGTCACCTTTCACAGCAAACTTGAAATAAAAGAAAATCGAACATGGAGAAGTCAGTTTTGAAATACTCTTTGTAGAAGTCACCAGGTGGGGGATTGTTCCAAATCCTCAGCACTATGATAAAACAAAGAGCACTTTTTACTTTAACACAGGTATAGCCAACAGTTACAAATAATGGAGTAATTTAACTTTTTACTATCTGCTTTGTATTAATGCCCGATTTAAAAAAAAAAAAAAAAAAAAAAAACACAATATTGGAACTGCTGAAATACACTCATGGGCCGGTATAATCTGCTGATGTTGGCCAAACAGATGTTTTTGAAAACACAGCTGAAGAGAACACTGCAAATGTATCTGACTGTTTTCTAAAGCACTTATTTCCCACAAATAAAAAAACCTAAATGAGATTATTTTATTTGAAAGTTGGTAGAAATCTTGCACACAGTAAAACCCCCAAATTTTCATTAAATGACAAATAAACCTATAAATTGTAGAACCAGATAAAACCAAATTTTCATAGTGGTCTCTTTCTTCTGTAACTACATACTGTATGTTAGCTAATATTGGCCATTTGGAAAATACAGAATTTACAATGGGAAAATCATACTGGATGGGTTTAGGATATCCTGTCAGCATGTATTCTGAGAGGCTCCATAGCTCGCAATGTCTGCAGCACATGTAGCAAGGCATCTCTGTTAAGCAAATGGTAGACTGGACTACAATGGTTACAGTTAGTCTAATGCAGTTACAGTATTTGATGAAGAAATCAGCATGAAGAGCTAATCGTCATGATCATATTAGAGCAAAAAGACAAACATAAAGGCATTATTTTCATCACAGCTTAATTATTCCCTGTATCTGCTGCCATATCGGTAATCAGTGATTTGACTCTGAAATAAGTATTGTATCAGCCACCAAATCCCACATTAGCGGGGTTATCGTTGCAAAGCAGATCAAATATACAAAATTGGCAAGCGACTTCCATCTCCCTTTATTTTTGCACCTCTGAGCCCTGATTTACCGGTGTACTTTATTAAATAGTGCAGTGCTCTACACCACATTTACACTGTTGAGTGCTGCTTGCCAAACAGGCAGTTTGCCCATCATTTTCCCCCTGCATGCGGATTGCAACAACACTCTTTCCAGTAAAGTCTGCCGCTCTCCAACTGAGCAATGATGTTTATTCCCGTTTAGCCAAAGGCAGTTGAGCAGCAGCTGAGGCAGTGATCACTAAATCCAAATCCCTCCCGATACTTTACGTAGTCATTATGTTGACAGGAACAGTTGCAGACGTCAATCCTCGCCACAGATTCAGCTTAAAAGCCAATACTGGTGTTGGATGTTGTCCTTAACAGCGGAGGACCTGCAGTGTTTACAGAATAACTGATGTATTTCGCTTGATGCAGTACCAAACTCTGCAGTTCAGGCTGTGCAGCAGGCAGTCATTGACTTGTGTGTCTGACATCGCACAATGGGGGAGTTGGAATTGGAAGTAGACGTGTTTGTTGTTGTTTCTTACTTATATTTTTATCAAACTGTCAACGCGGCGCTGAGACTTGCATGATTTCAGCTCGTGTCATGTCAAATAACTAGCTTTTTTTTTTCTCCCACATAAAAGAAAAACTGCATTTCCCCCGCCTTAACCACAGGAAAACGAAAAAGTACAATTGCTGTTGAATTTGTCGCCTCTGTTCGAAGCCTACAAAGCTGAAGGCCTCTTGAGCAACTATAAATATTGAAAACTCTCTGTTAACGCTTTACATATATATCTCATTGGAGCTTGAAATTGATTTGAAGTTGGCTGAAAGGAGACAAGCATTTTGAAAAGCAAGCCCACGGGGGAGAGTAGTTGGAGATTTTTTTTTTTTTTTGTTGGGGCTGAGATTAACATTCTAGTAATGTAAGATTGATAAAGGCTTGACATATCCTACTGAGCCATATCTCTTCCCTTTTTCTTCCCTCAGCGACTTTGAGATGTCGAGCCGCGGCAGTCTTTCTAGGCACAGCGGGTTTTTTTTGTCCTCTTCGCACACAAAGCTGAATTCAGACTAATGTGTTTCCTTCAGGGTTATTTCACCTTAAATTCCCACTCTCGCCTCACTTTACAGGTTAGAAAGTTTAAGTCGTTAATTTCCATACAAACAACTTCAGCGCGACAAAGTGGCACCAGGGACTCTCTCTCTTTCTTTCTCTCTCTGTGTGTCTTTTTGAATGGGTCACCTAAGTGCAGCCGCCGCTCCTCTTTCCCTCGGAGCGATTGCTGATCCGACATTTATTAGACTTGATTTGCTTTGACCAGTGTTACCGTTTGTAATTAGTCTGTGGCTAAAAGAGGAAATGGAACAGATCCAGGCTCTGTGGAAGGCATTCACAGGCCCTGGGGTTTGGCTCAGTTGTTGATGCTTAAATTCGCCGCTCATGGTGGAATCATATTGGCCCTTTGTGACCAAGAATGACGCCCCAGAAAAAATTAAACACGACGACTACATTAGGAACTAAAAAACCCCGGCGGTAGCATTTCAGCTACATCGGGAGAAGCATGAGGCTGTTTGTTTGAATCGCACCATGACCAGACAACAACACTGTTAGGAAATCCACTGCTCTTTGTCTTTGAGAGTTGAGTGGATGTTTAGAAGCACATGAACAGCAGGTAGTATAAAAGAGAAATGTGACAATTGCAAAATGCCTGGCTTTTGTAGAGTTCTGGAAAACCGCTATTTTATCACTTTATCCATGAGCTGCCAGCCACACTTTAGTGACAAACTAAGTGAGAGTTAAGCTTTGAGCAGGTTCAATGTATTGTGCAGCTGACTGGGAATACTATGCACTCCTTCATTGTTGAAGTCAACAACAAAGTCGACTTCTACCATCTTTCCATTGGGATTTCAGTAAATGTTTTCTTTATCCAACATTTATTTTTAATTCAGCAGCTTCTTCTTAGATGGAATGTTTTCAGTTGAGTTCATTAGTTACTTGCTAGAAGAAGATAAAATACATAAGCTCTGGTTAAGAATGGCATTAAGGCTGTTTAAAGCCATAGCTTGTTTAGCTTGTTTTTATTTTTTTAGTACAATACAGTACAATATGACAAATGTTTCTTTTTTTTCTTTTTCCAGCTGTATAGTTACATTTGGATATTAAAGTCTTTCTATGTGATTTTTCACACTTAAATGTAGAAATCAAGTATCTCCTCTGAAAATAACTCTGTGAGTCATGACTGTCTACAATGGGTGTAACACCCGAGTCCCACTGTCTGTGATGTTTTCAGAGTTTTCAGAGTCCTATCTTCACTTTGTTTACATCGCCAGGACGGCCGGCTGACTCCTCCCCTCGTGTATAAAAGTTGTTTAATTGAGGGACTAGAGAAAAGAAGAATAACATACTGTACTCACTGCTTAACTGTGTTTCTAGATCACGCTCATTTCAGGTAAATTTACATGCAGTGTGAAGATACCAGCATAATAAAGATCGCTAGCATTAGCATGCTAACACAACAATGCAGCGCGAGTTGTTTTGGTTTCATGCTGGTGCTCAAGGGCGACATCTGCTGGATGAAAAAATCACATATAAAGCCTTTAAGCCAGCAGAAATATAGATTACAAAAGTAAGATACAAACCAAAATGTCCACTTCAAAGAATATACACAATAATACACATGAACAAACAAGTACATAAATAAATGTTCATAAAAGTAGAGGAGAAATGAAAATCATAATTAAAAAGTTGTAATCATACAGAAATCAATTCTAATCCACTCAAAGATATCGTGTGTTAAAGTACAGGTGAGAAGTCAAGCCAAATGAAACATCAGTAAAGCCAGCACAGGTCTCCATCTTGTTGTGAACGTTTCTTTGTTGGAGTCTTGATTGGTATGTAATTTGTTCCATTTTGTCCCAAACTTTCTGGATCAACAGGCTACTTTTTTGACCACATAGCAGGGGTCAAAGTTCCTACAGGCTCTGAGGGGAGCATAGACTTTCTTTGGGGTCAGGATATACTGCACAAGAATATGAAGTCTGAGTTCAGTAGAAAGGTTACCGTCATCCTGAGAATGGTCCTGTGCTTTGAAATGTTTTACTTTTACACCTGTTTGCTAACTCGCCCGACTCTCTCCTCCAGCTCGCCATGACTCACCCCAGTCACCACCTGAACTTCGGCATGAACCCCGATCACGCGCGCAACTCTCTCTCCAACTGTGGCATCCGGCAGCC